GTAAGCGCGAAACTTGGTAATGGCACAACCAATTTTTTGGTTGTGCCAAAACCTGCCAAAACCCAAAAAAAACCTGTTTTTTTTAAGAAATATTCCTTTAATCCTAAGGAAGATTTTTATGAAAAGAAAAATTAGATGAATATTAAACAAATTTAAAAAATCGGAAAGGGGGTCGTGCCGCTATATTATAGAGCTTCCCCCCCGGTTACGGTACAGACTTAAGTTCACAAACGTAAATAATATTTATCTACTATACCTCTTTTCTCAACAAGAACTCTAACAAGGGAACCACTAAATGTCGATCCAAATATTTCGTCATTTTATTTGTCAAGTCGAACTCAGCCATATTGAAATTAATTAGTTAAACTTGTGTGTACAGTAGAAAATATCAAAATAATCTGAAATTAGATTTCAGAAGTGGCGATCCTTTTGCTTACACGACTAAAAAATGATAAACAATGATAGCTTAAAATGAAATTACGTATTTTTTAAGGTTACTTACGTTATAATCCTTAATTTGTGGTACAGACTAAAGCACTTATCGAAATACTCTTTTTAAAAATCTGAACTCTGGAAAACAATGCACGTGCGTGATATTGAGTTTGAAAGAAAAAGTGGATATACTGTTTTAGGTTGTTTTACTAGTTGTAATGTTTTAGATAACTACTTACCTAGTGTTTTCACTTCGCAGTTCGCATGTTTTATATTGAATCCACGGTCTAAGATATACATCACATTAATAAGTCCACGTATACAGCTGCCGATTCGATTTTGTTTATTCATCCACGTCCACCATCGATTGTGACAAATGCACACAGCACACACTAACCCTCGTGAAATGGAGGGGGTTAAAAACAAATCCTGATGCTTTGCAGTTGGTAATACCTACTGTGGTCGCCACCCATTAAATTCTAAAAGAATATATGAACAATTAAAAATATTAAAGATATTCCTTAGATTTTCCTATGTATATTCTTCCAAGCCTCTATTTCTCCTCGTTTGGTGTTTTTTTTTTCAATATTACCAAATATCATTATTTTTTATAAACACATCTATCGATTCCAATAATAAAACGTTACCAAATTTGCAAAACCTTGTCCAACAGATAGCGAGAGCGAATAGTTATCAATATTCATAGATATTAGTGGATTTTATAAAAAATATTGACTAGTTCATAAGCATAAACATAATATAATATTTGATGTCATGAGTTTATCTACATGACCGTAAATGCTAAAGATCGGATGAGTTTTTTACCGGTGTAGTGCTGTTTCATGCATTTATTCAATATCTACGTCGATGATAGGATATAATAATTATAATTATCAGAGTACGATCTTGATATTAAGGTGGTTCTACTATACAGGCGCATACAAATCCTTGGCTGTGATTGGTTGGTATCCATGGTAGGCTTATGCTTACCAGAGTGTTTATACGTTTTTATCGCACAGTAACCAGGTTACCGAATTGTTGTCTAGTCACGAATTTTATTAAGATATTAACATACCGAACGAACTTTGGCGAGTTACACCAAGACACGAGGTTTATGATAAGGTAAAAAGAAACGTTTATTTACAACAGAAAGACATAATAAAAGTGATCGCCAGCTGACGGCTTTTGACGGAGGAAAAGGCGAGCACGCAACAATTAAAACAACATTAGTTAAGAAAAACAATTAAACATAATAATTATTCGGAGTCGGAAAACAATGTTTCGCGAACGGCGTCGGTGCGAAGAGAGCCAGCGGAACGGTCGAGAAGTCGAGGGAGCGGAGCTGTGGACGATGACCGTTGAACGCCGACGGCAAGGGGCGTGGCCGACGTCCGCCGCGAGCGACGCGCAGCGGGAAGAAGAAATGTGGCGCGAAACCTACCACAGAACGTATGATAAGTGAAGCTCGACTCGAACCTTCTCACTTTTGATAAGGCCACTAACACCGTCTAGTGTACTCTTTAAACTATGTTAATATTTATTATAGAATAGATATGAAATTTATTACATACGTTCCGCTAGCAATATTTGATAAGAAGATCCAGATACTTCCCAAATTTGTACCTATGTTGCCTACTCTACTTCTGAAATTGTTCAACTTGTCTGCCTAACTTTCGAAATTCTATTGCTAATGTTTAAAAAATATTGCTATACCTACCTACCAAAGAATATTTTTAATTAAATATTGCCAATGTTCCTTTTATTTATTGTTTGATATTTTGAAATTAAATATTTTATATTATTAATTAACAAAATTAATTACTATTATTTTTGAACAAATAGGTAACTATTTCCATGGTTGTATTGGTCAAATAGATATCATGATTATTTTGTATTATTTTTAAAACCTATTACAATCTATATATTTGTATCTCCTTATTTTGGTTCAGTCGATACGCACAAACGCGCGTTGTTTTTATTATCAGAGTTAAATAATTTTTTACTTTGGTTCTTCCATTGCTGATTTTAGTATCCTAATTAGATTCTTAGCCCCCAGTTTTGATTGTGTTCACCCATGGAATGGTCTCCCTTTTTGAATAGTTCAGCGCGCGCGCAATTTAACCCGGCATTTACCATAGGTTCACACGCGTATACCTATAATAGTGTGTGGGCACGTAACAATATTCATTATTTACATTCAAATATATCAGATTAAGTATACTTAAAATAAAACCATCATTAAAACCTTTGACCATTTCTGCTTACTGATATACTAGATTATGTGCCTATTAGACCTTTTAGCAATTGTTTTTGCGATTACTAAAAACAAGAATTATAAACAAATTACCTATATTTCTTATATTTTTCGGTTTGTCAAATTTGATGAGAAAACTCCAGAAAATCGAAAAATGATAACCCTTAATTATTCTTGTAAATCTGGTGGTCAATCTTTTGTTAAATATTTAGTATATGTGTATTTTAACTCTATGCCATTTCAATTTAAAAAACCAAACCTGACCTTTCAGAAAAAGTACTACACTTAATGATCAGAGCAAGATTTCTTGTAAAAGTTGTGCACAGATAAAAAAAAAAAAACATCTTTGTAAAACCATACGTTTCTTTGCTCTACTCAGAATCTAAATAAGCGGACATAAAGGCAGAAGAGAATTTAATGTATGTCTGTAAACAATGATAAACCATTACTAACGAAAAAGAATTCTAAGCAAAATTTGATGCTTTTTCAACAGTATATATGCCATATTAAAGTATACCTAATACATAGTATTGAATACAAATAATTACCCAGGTAAACACATATGTATATATGTTAAAAATTAATTATTTACAATGTGATTTAATTTGAAGTAGGTACCTATATACCTACCTTTTTTAACAATGTGCGTTTCCATAACAATATGATTGTTTGAAAATATTAAAATAATAAAAACTTAATAATAACAAAAAATAAATAAAAAAGGTTATTGGCAACCTCACTTTTAATGGTTTAATCTTTTGTAACCTAGAAAACCTAGGGTGTTCATCATTATCTCGAATATTAATGAGTTTTAAAAAATGACCTCTCTAAAGTACCACCCACAGAACATTTCCTTTCAGAAAAGATGCTATATTTGATAATCGGATTAAGCTTTATGATAGTGTTCACATAAACAAAAAAATAACCATCATTCTAACCCAATATATTCATCCTTCTGGTCAGAATTTAAAAAATTGATTTAACATATTTGATACCTCTCTTGGATCATATTGCTGGTCACTGCTAATTATAGTTTTAATTATATCCTTATTAATTTTAGACCAAATAATTTCATTTATGAGTTACCAATCAAAGATATTTTTAAATTTTAAATATAAGTTCTGTTTATTATGAGTAAAACCTAACAGTAACCATGTATTTCTTTTAGTTCCGAATGTTATTTTATGAAATTTTTTATAAGTTGTTAGTGATTTATCAATAAAAGTAGAAATTATTTTATTAATCTCATAAAAGCACTTTTTTTATTTCTATTATATATTTTAGACCATTTTTCTTCATTTAGGAATGTTTTAATTTTATCATAATCAATACTTGAAATAAATTTACTATTATTAGTCAAGAAAATCTTATTTGGTATAGAAATGCAAGTTATAATATGGTAATATCTGTAATATTCCATTCACTTGAGTAATTAGGTATTCATGATAATGTTCAAATATATGGTGAAGACATAAACTTAACTTAGTTTTAAAGATATAAATATCAGTTAGATGAGATCTATAAATACATAAAATATTAATTAGCATTACTAAAACATTTTTAGTTTTATAATATTCGGTTCAATATTCAAAAAGAGTCTATGTTATAATTATGTCTAACAAAAACCAATTGATCATTTTGGTTTCTTTTTAAAGTCGATAAGTATAATATAGATTCTCCAATAATATAATCAAATTGTCTCAGTTGCCCGATTTCATTCAATTAGTAGAATCATATTTTTTTTCTATTAAGAAAATTTTCTAAAATGAGTTCAGACTTATATTACTACATAATATGTTCAAAAACGTATTGTATATATTTTTATTTGACAGTTATTGAAAGTATGGCTACATTTTTTAGTTTTAGCTGCTGTATAGTTCAACATTAATATATTCACAAGTGAACAATATTGTCCACACTAGAATTTGTAAGAAACTGGAAAATTAAGTTATAATAAACAAATATTATGCATTATCAAACAATAATGCTGACCTGTTATTAAAGGTACAACTTTATAAATATTCTTATAAAGTTATAAATGAAGTCAAAATTTTCAACAGTATCACAAATACCATCAAGAGCAATTCATTATAAAATTTATAAAACAAATTTAATATAAAAATAGTTTAAACATTGTTGGCATTGTGAAAAGAAAAATTAAATACTCAAAAATTAACTGCAAAACCAATACATATTTAGCTGCAATCAGAATCAAAAAAATACACTTTTAAAACTCTATTAATCGAAGTTTATTGAATAATATTCGTAATTTTTTTTACAATTGTGAATCTTAAAAATTATTATATGAAAAAAAACCTATTCAAAATACAAAACTTTTATAACAAAAACCATGGTAAAAATACAATTTCAATATAATTTGATCACATGATGAAGTAATACTAATAGAATAAATAAAAAAAAGTATAATCAAATTGTAAAATTAATCAGCTATAAATTAAGGGTGACAAAACATCATAATTGAATTGACAATATCAATATTAATATAAAGTAACATAATATTATAAGAGCTTTAAATGTTTAATAAATAAAAACATAAATATAATATACATAATATAAATCAACAAAAACTAAAAAAGAAATCACACATTTTTTGATAATTTTTCAACTCTATAAACTTAATAAATTATGTTATAAATGAATTAGATGCAGAGAAATAAGTTCATTATGCATAATTTAATTGTCCTTGTATCATTAATTTATAATGTGTCTAATTTAAAAAAAAAAATTCAATAACTTCCAAATAAATTTTTAATACATATGAATGATAATATTTAAAAGAAAAAGTACACACATACTTAATAGGTTCCTTAAAATGGTCAACAATTTAATTTGGCACAAATCAATAGGAAAATTTGGTTACTTGTAGTATTTATTGGCGGTCTGTTGTATAACCTGGAAACAAATTCAACAAAATTTGAGCTAAATTGGTATTAATTTGCATAGAGTAACGTTCTCCCAGCTCTGCTCTACACGCTGGACACTGGTAAACATCAGCACCAAATGACCTCTTCAAACATCCCTAAAAATACAGGAATTTATTTCCATATTATAATAAATATGTTATAGAAATAATGATTATTTAGTTACTAACTTTACAAATATTGTGGGAACACTTAGTGGTTATTGGATCAAAGACAATATCTTGACAACAAATACACAAAAATGTTTCTTCAACTCTATCCAAAAACATCTATAAGAATAATGATTTTTATAAGTGTAATTTGAATTTGTTTATATATTAGAAATGCTTAAAAATTAAAAATGAACATACTTTTCTGCCATTGTCTAGAGATTCCTTACAATCATCCCAATATTTTTTGTTTACAACATCTGCTTTGATTAATTTCTTCACATCCTGATCAAGTTCATAAAGCAATTTAACTTTCTTTTCAGTAGACTCATTGTCTTTGCTATCAGACTTCTTACGTTTAGTTGAAGTTTCAGGAGTGGCAGGTTCAATATAGTTTTCAGGATACTAGAATTACAATAAAATATAATTTTCATTATTTAAACAGAATTCTACCACAGGTTTTATATGGTTTTTGTAGATTTAATTATGTATAATGTTCCAGCACAAACTAGATTGTACAAGTTACAATATACAATTCACGATGTGTACAAAAATCATTGTACAAATCATAATATTCAACCCATTCACTGCCACAAATGATCTCCGATTATTGGTGTAAAATTAATAATAAGGAATCAAATCCTACAAAAAGTGCAAAGAAATTGCATTAAAAAGAAAGATAAATTGTTTTTATTTTAACCATATTATCAATAGCACTTCAAATACAGAAACACAATCAATAAAAGATCTAAGAGTCATTTAAGATAGTAAACTATATTTTAGAAGACACAAGAGGTTATATCACAAAGCCAAAAAAATGTTAAGATTTGTGAAGACATTCCTAAAGTTTTCAATTCAACAGCATTCAAGACCTTATATATTTCTTTAATATAACACCTAGAATATGCCAGTTGAACAGTGGAACATTGTGTTGTATATAGATATTTTAAACATTTAAACCTTACAAGACCAATTCTGTAGATAGAGGTACAACAAATATAAGCAGATACTAATAACACTCAGAACACTACGCAACATCTTTAAAAACCAGAAAAATCATAATTGAACTAGTATTTTTTTAGTCTTTTTACACAGATTAATCTATGCCTCTAACCTTCTAGAACAGTTTTTAAGTCAGAGTACCTATAAGACTTGCATGTCCCTACTTCAAAAACTAACAAGGTCACCATCTCACCTTAAACCAGTTCAAAAATAAATTCCAACAAATTGTATTAAGATTATATATCCAAACTACACCTACTTAATTATTCAAAATTATTTCTGCTCACTAATTCATTATTATTTAATAATTGTACCTGCAATTTTTATGATTAACATATTTCTATATTCCTTCTTTATTTACATAATATTCAAGTATATTGTTAATTAATTTTATATTAAATACCACATATTATATCAATTAATTTATTAAAGGGTGTTTACCTGTTAATTTTTAAATAAATATAATTAAATATAAAGGGATTGATGCCAAATATTTTCTTTTCACTTGATAAAAATTAATATATTATGCATTAAATATTTTAAGTTTAAGAAAAAACAATTGAGATTTGCCAATATAAATGATACTTTAAATTTATGCATAATACATTTTGTTCACATCATAAGAAAAATTGAAATAGAAATTGTAGTTTAACATAATGATGTACTATGCACATACATATTTTAAATGACAAATGCTTTCTTTGACCATGCACTATATTAAGATAATTATTTTTAACATAGATTTTAATGATTTTCATTCCACTTACAATTAATTCAAGACCTAACTGTGCCATACGTATTTTTCCCTGTTTAGTCCATGGTGCTGGTATAGGATCATCTCGTCTCAACACATACCGCCAAACTATAAATCCAGAAGCTCCAGTTTGTGGATAATATTTGACAACTTTGTAAAGGCCATCATAGCTGTAAATTAAAGTATATTGATTTTAAAAATTATACATGTACCAATTAGACGGGTTTTAAAAATTAACTTATTTTTTTAAGCATAGATTCCTACCGATTTCCCTTTTCAGGTGCATATTTAGAATGCTTTTGAAGTTTATAATTTCGAACAACTCTCACTGGTTTTCCTTTCTTCCAATCCACAGCTGTTGCTCCTTTAATATCGTTGAATTTTGCATTACAATTTAAAGCTAAAGCCCTAAAATAAATATTTTTATCAAAAGTAATTAATATAAAAATATTTGGAAGTACTATTATTTTGTATAAAATATTGTATTTATTATTATGTAAGTACTTGTTATTGCGAGTTAACTCTTGATTACAACTTTGTGCAGCTGTGCGTTTATTTCCTGATAGATCTCTTCCTCCAGAACCTGTGTACATGAATTCATCACCATTATCAACATCATCTTCATAACCACCACTTAGCACAAGACTAAATGCACCTTGATTATCCCGGCCATGTATTCCCCCAACAGGGGGTCGGTGTATACCAGCTTCCGAAACCTAAAAAGAACATTATTGTAAAACGATTAATACATTTGATTAATAGTTTATTGAACTCACCTGAACACGGAATAACCATGTTGTTCCAACTTCCACACCAGGGATAGACCCAAAATGATTAGATGGTACTATGTTACACTTTTTAGTCCTACCAACACATGCCATACCCTTTCCCCAATCTCTTTTAGATGTGGACATATTAATTGGTGGTTTTTTCTTTGATGCTTTTAATTTTTCACCAGCTTTAACAATTTCGTTTTCATCATTTTTACAAGTAGGGCAATACCTGAATTATTTAAATACAATATAAACATAATATAACAATTTAATATAAATACTCATTTTTCTCTTGGAAACAATACAAAAAATTTAATTTTCACTTACCAATCATCAATCGGTATCTCTTTTAAAGGTGGTGTGAGGCATGCTATATGGTATGAACTATTACATTCATCACATAAAATTTGTGTGTCTTCATTGTCTTTGAGACCACAGATATGACAACCACATTCCTTACATTTTTTTTCCTTATTATCTCTGCATGTTATACACATCAAAGGACCAACTCCTTTTCAAATGATAAAATAAAATTAATAGGAAATAGGTACAAAACATATCAAATTAATAATATATTACTCAATGTAACAGGCTCAGTTTGTATTATTTTATCATCTTCTGGTGTTCTTTCTGTTATTAAAGTGTTTGGTTTTATTTTAAAAATATCATCCAGAAATAACATACGACAATTTTTTAATACAGCCTGTTCTTTTCCAATATATACATCTCCAGTAACTTCATCACCTTTCTTAGTAGATTTCACCTTTTTGATCAACACATCGTACCAATAACCCCGTTCTGAGGGGTATTCAGCATTGTAGTTCATAAGTACTGTATCACCAGGTTTTAATTGTTCAAGAGGCACAATTTCAGAAGAACGCGGTCTTATCTCATTAAATTCAACTGCAATAGGTTGTTCATTGGGGCATCTAAATTTATTAATTGATTATAATAATAAATAGTGTACAGAATTTTTAACATTAAAATCACATACCCTGTAAATTCGACAACATAAACAAGCCCATTTGTTTCCTTAGAATTTGATGAAGTATTTGGATTGTCTAAAGTATGTGATATGTTTTTTTGAATCTTTAGTAATTTCCCTGTAAACCAGGATTCATAACTAGAGTCTTTCACGTCAACATAATCACCTAATTTAAAATATAGACAATGTGATACATTGTCTATATTTTCCTGAAAAAAAAAAGTTATTAATCCGATTCCTTAATTTTCTTTATAAAAAAAAATTATAGAAATTTACTGCTAAAGTAGGAACTTTTGGGAGTGCTATTTTTGAAGATGGGCTTTTAGGTTTTTCTTGTTTCTTCACCATTAATTGAATAACATCATTAATATTTATACCATAATCAAAGAGTCTATATTCTTCTTCCAGCTGAAACAAACATCATAATAAAAATATGTCCTAAAATAATGGGGAACAGTTACTATTATAGATAATTTAATGTATACCTGTAAGCAACAATATAAACCATTGCTTACAAAAAATGATTCTAAGCAGAATTCAGTTAATGGTGATTGTCGACAATATATATATATATATATATATTTATTTATTTATCATATTATATAGTAAAATAATTAAATAGGCTTTATATATTTTCTTTAATAATATTTGATTAGTGTTGCACAGATTTTCCCAGTTTTTTACATTTCATGAGAAAACTCTAGAGAAAATAAAAAAAAAGGCCTGTTTAATGTACCTCCTCACACTGATTTCCTTTCAGAAAAGTTGCTACACATAAAAATTGGAGTAAGTCCTCTGGTAGAAAAGTTGTCTACAGGAAAAAAATTACATATCTTTCTAAAACAATGAGCTTCTTCACTCCATTCAGAATCTAAAATATAAACACAAACTATCATATATCATATTATGTATAGATATTATATAAAACAATAATCCCTATTTCCAAAAACTAAAATTCACAAACTAAGAAAAGCTATATCACATACATTTCATAACACTTAAATTTCGTAACACTTTAAATCAACAATTCTCGACATGGACAGTACTACCCCTCATTATGGGCTTTTAACTAAGGGGGCGCCTTCATTGTGAAGAAATATATATCTGTATCTAGTATAAAATAATTTAATAATTTTTAGACACTACAATAACAGTGAAATGCAGCAAAATAACAGTGAAAGGTCCCATTTTTATACAGATATTTCCGACAATATTGTATACTTGCATTTATCACAAGAAGTTGTAATCTAATGTGAATGGTAGTTATATTTATTTGTAATTATAATAAAATGTCAGAGCTCAAAATGTGAAGATAATATTTATTTTTTACTTTAATTAAATGGCAGATTATAAAAACTAAACTGTAACTTTTTTAAATTTATTAAGAGTAATAAAGTTTGGGAAACATTGCTTAAAATGTTTATATTTTAAAACTGAAAAAAAATTGAAGTTAAAATAAATTGATTAAATTTAATGATAAAATTAACCGTTCTTGAATAAAACACTTGTGTACTACACATCAAGCACATATGTCTCATTAATCAATGTATTTTTAATTCATTGTACAACAATATTATCATATAAAATAAAATTTTTGCTAACACATTTTTTCATCATTGTATTAATTTATTTCACAATAATTAAACCTCACCTCTAATAGAGTAGATTGTTAACAGTTTACATAAATATGTAATATATATTATATAAATAATATGCTTCACTTAAGTATTATACGGATTGGTGTACTACGAAAATTTTGTGGGAGATTAAGTGTGCCACATTGTTAAAACTGTTGAAAACCACAGAGTTAGACAAATAAAAAATTTTAAAATAAGATATAAAGAACACATTTCTGAATTAAAATTTAAAAAAGATTGCTTCAAATCCAAATTTTACTAAACATGTTTTAGAAAATAACCATAATATATAATAGCTTTAACATTAATACAGACTTAGAAATAATAAATACCCAAAATAACATTTACATTAATGCAGTTTTAGAAGAATTACATATACACAATGAAATTAAAAAAAAATGTAATAATATTTTAAATGTACAAATTGATTTTAAAAATAATATTTTATTATCAATAAATTTTAGATAATAAATAATAACCAAAAAATTTATATTTCCAAACATATCTATTCCTAATAATACATTATAATAACATTTTAAATAATCTCTCCTATTAAAATAAATTAATTGTATGTAAAACGACCAATTTGTATACATTTTATCTAGTATTCCTTTATTTAATTTATATTCAATTTTAAATTTTGACGAATATATCGGATGATGATTTTTTAGTACATAAATAAAAAATTAATTTATCATTCATTCATTTATTTAGTTTTTATTTTTATATTTAAGAGTATAAACCATTTTAATAATTTTGTTTTACTTTATTAGTTTATTATTTAAATAAATTTGTGGGTAAAATATTATAAATCTGAAAACAAATTTAAAAAACTTATTTTTTCTTATTGCATAAACCAGAATGGATATTTTTATTTTGTACACAGTAGACATTGAGTTAAAATAAGTTAGACCCAAATGATCAACAAAATATTATTTTGCAAATTTTACCTGTAAATCATAAACTCTAGATTTAACAAATTTTTTTATTTGTAATATTGTATTTTTTTTTTATATAGAAGCCTTACTGGTAGAGCACCTAGAAATTTGTCTTTTTTTTTTGTTGAACTCTCCGTTGGTTTTTTATTAAAAATTATTCTTGATATGTTATTCTGATTTTGTTGTAGAATGTTTATATTCTCACCTTTAATACCTTCCCAAACTAGAAGACCACATTGGAAAATTGATTGAGAAAAAGCAAATAGGTATTACATACAAATTTAATTGATAACAAGTTTAATGATTTTATAAATCAGCGGTTCCCAACCCATGGGCCATGAGGTACTGGGTTACTCTGGCCGAGGATATAAGCCAAGGGTTAGTAAATCCTATATTATTTATGTTATTATAATATAAACGTCTATATTTCAACTGAGATTTAGTAATAATCAGACAATTATCACTATCGTACAATTCCACTGTACAATATAGGTGTTTTTATTTTTACCTGCATATTAGTTTAGTGGGCTTCAAAGTTTTTTTTTAACAAAATTGGTAATCCGCACTTAAATTATTAATGTGTAGATCCCATCTTAAATTACTATCAAAAATTATACTTTAACAGATTTTGGATATTTCTTTTGTTTTCAAGTTTGTAGATTCCATTTTGTATTAATGTTATAATTATGAATTAATAATGGAGACTCGTAGGTATTACACATTTATTTATTGAAAATTTCATATAATTACATGATGTATCATAATTCATAGTTGAGCATATTTTATTTAAACAATTGTATGTTAAATTTAACCCTTCCATAGCTTTAAGGTATAGCTTTTTCCAAGAATTATCTGGGAATAATAGGCAAGTGTCATCAGCATAAGTCACTATTTTACTATCAATTGATTAATTACATACCACATTTATGAATAATATTAATAAAATTGACATATCACACTACCCTGAGGAATATCTTATTTTATAAAATTTATATTACTTGCAATATCATTTAATTAGTTTTCTATTACATAGATAGCTTTTAAACCAAATTGGACTGTGATTATTTATCTGAAAGTAGGTAAAATTCTAATACCTACGGAATCAAATGCATTAACTAAATCTAAGAAGTTAATACTTTATTATCATTGTCTAATTTATCATATATAAATTGTGTTACATCATATAAAGCATTCCTGAACCGAGTCTGTAACTTTACTAGTTATTAGATAATAGGTATTTTGAGGTATCTAAAGATCCTTGATTTAATAATTTTTTTAAAATTATATACAAATTTGTAAACATAGATATGAATCTATAATTTCTCATAATTTTGCAATGCCTCCCCTATATTATATTAAAATGGTTTGACTAAAGCGAGCTCAAACTTATTCAGGAAAACAATTTTTTTTTTTTTTTTATGTAAAACCAAACATTTTTTTAAAATAAAATAGGTATAATAGGTAAAATAGGTTTTGTATAATATATATTTTACTTTACAATTAAATTCCACACTTGCATATCTTAATCATTGATATAATATAAGGGTTATCTTTATTACTTATAATGATATGACAATAATATTATTAAATCAAATTAATTATTAATACATTTATATTCATTTGTTTATACACATCAATGGTTAAAAGGTAATAGAGCAAAATCACCACTTTCCAAATTGTTTTCTGTACCTGGTCCAGTCGTTCTATCGAAATATGACTATTTTTTTTATTTTTATTTTTTTCATATTATTGATTAATTAATGATTATTTGTAGTAAAGGTATTTAAAAAATTATATTATATAAATGTAAGATTATATTAATTAATTTAATTAATATAAACTTAATTTAACAAACTCCAATTACCACTAATTTTTAAAAGATTTTTTGTACCTGTTATAATATAATAAAACTTCAATATAATGGTCACCTAAGGGACTAAAAATAATGACAGCTATTTAGAGGTGATCGTCCTTTAAAAGTTCCCTATAGTCATAACACTTGACGGGACCAAATTAATGATCATTACACAGTGAATACAAGTCTTACTGTAATAAATACAATTACTAAGTTCTGATAAGTCATTGAAGTAAATTAAGCATTCTACATTATAAATATTTCTAAGAACATACCTTATTCTTTGGGTATTAATTAACTAAAACCATTTAACTAAACTATTAACCCAGCTTGTTTTTTTTAGTAGAAAATAATATGACTTTTTTATGAAAAAAAAACTTAACAAAAATAATTTTTTCTTTAGTTTTAAGTGCTATAAAATCATAAAAATTTAATGTAAATTACTTGTTTCTTTTTAAACCACTATAAAAATATTCAAATAACAATACCATAAACCAAAATGATAAATTGATGTAACCACCAAAGTTTTATCAAGTTTTACTAAAAGTGCTGCTAGTGCTGCTTACAACCAACTTTTTTAATCCCACTAGTTCTATGACCTTATGTAAAACATCAATTGTTGATTATAAACATATGATATTGATATTTAAGTTGGATCATTTGATGTATAATTATGCAGTTAAACAATATGTAGAAAAGTAGACTGAAAAAGGTATCACCTAATCCCTTTTACCTTCCTACTATTGATAATAGTGTATATATGATAAGACAGTACACTAAATTAATACTTTCAAAATAAACTATCTATATTAGAAAGTATAATTTATTTTTACAAACACATTTGGATATTATTGAAATTATTGGTAATAATTAAGCTATGATAGAATTCATAGCAAATTCATAATTTCATTTGAAATTAAAACACAATATTATGTTGGAAATAAACATATTTTCATTTGGAATAAATATATTTATTTAAATTGTATTATATTCTTCTAGACCTACTTCATTTACTTTGTATTTATAGGTACCCACACATTATATAATATACCTATAAATGAACAAAAACACTTAAAATATTGTATACTTCACTAAGTAGGTATATGAATATTATATAGTATGGATAACTATGAGAAGAGTATATAAATATAATTAAATTATCTACAAAGTTATTTAAATACCATTAGATGTTTATTTGGGTTATCTATTTAAGCGTCAAAAAAACAGCCATTTGGATATCCTTTCTATACATAGGAATGAGTATGGGGAGGCAGGGTGGGAAGCTACCACTCCTACGTTAAAATGGGTTGAATTTTTCTTTCAAAAAACTGAAATTTCAATTAATATATTAAATTTATAACTAAATGAATTATAAATAAATAAAAATACTTTCATCACTAATATTAATTGATTCATTAACTAATAACTAAAATAATATTCAATTATATATTATATAATTTTACATTTCGCAATGTGAACAGTGATTTTTGTACACATTGCAAATTTAAAGTATTTTCCTAATAAATGTTACATATCAGTATATCATATAAAAATATATGTACCTATAGGTCTTTAATCTTTACATATTAGTAGTATACTCAAGGGCGGATAAGCATATCGAGAAATCAAAAATCTTTCCGATGGGCTAGTTAATGTATGGGCCACTATATTATTATATTATTACAAAAAAGTTATATTTTTATAAAATAAGCATAAAATATTAAAAAAAATCAAACATGAAGGTAATAGTTAGGTACTTATTGGTACATGTGTACTATTACCAGCAGACGAAGTTAGTACGATAACCGAAAAATACTATTATTTTATCCTTTAAAATTTGAATATTTTTATTAATACTCAATAATATATTTAATTGTATAATAAGAATTGTTATATAAAACTGTTATAACCATAGTAAAAATTTGATTTTTATAATATCTAGTTACTTTGTAGCAACATTATTGCAAGGTTTGCGATGTGTACAAAAATTATTGTTACACATTGCGAAATGTACAATTCCGGACTTAGTATGCAAAAAATATATCTATATAAATAAAAATGAATCTCTATACCCTTGGTCATCGTATCACGTGAGAACAGCGTCACCAATTATGCTGATTTGTTTTTATTGTATTCATAATTGACCGGGCAAGGTTTTAAGAAAGAGAATTTTTCCTACGTCGGTATTTTACTTCGATAATTAAATTTCTAAGACGATAATAAGAAAAATACGATTATATAGAATATCTCAAATAACATAAATATTAAAATATCGAGAAAAATGTATAACATAGGGCACGTTATTATTATGAAGTTCAATAAAATATGAATAACAAAATAGCTATAGTAAAGGTAGTATAATTCACAATATATTCGTATAAATGAGTACTTCGATTAATGTACTCTGAATGTTTTTGGACACGTACAGAAATTATAAGATAATAAAAATAAAGTAACCGGGTTTTTCTCGTAGTTATTAGAAATCTCATTTCCAAACTTTTACCGTCGGATTTACCCGGCCGAGCTGATAACGTTTACGATAGTAAAATAATTTAATTTTGGATATATTTAGAAAATCCACCACTGTCGTCAAAACAAACTGGCAATTCCATATAATTAATAACCATTGCATTGCGATAAAATAAGAGACCAGTTTACACCGGTACATATACAGAGTGATCGAAACATTATTATTTTAGAAAATGTATTTTTCAACTCTGAACACTTAGGTATACTATACATTTAATTTTAAGACAGCAACAATTTTTTTTTTAGGGGGGGTTAGCTACATCGTCTTATGTATTAAATATTTCTTAATAATTTATTTATTTTATTTTTACGGGGTCGTGTTGAAAACGTTTTAAAAAATAATTTTCTGTGGCTTGTACGTAACCGAAGTCGAAAAATTTTGAAAATTTATTTTATTTGTCCACACTATAAAATTACAATTTATAATTATTGAACAATAACATAACTTATGGTTGCACTATAACTAAGACTTTTAGATTAGAAAGGTTCAGGTTCAACAAGGTAAATAAATAGTTTGTTTTTCGCTTTTCTAAACAATTTCGTAAAGTGGAATTGTCCTGATGCACTGAATCCTCCAATAACTATAATTAAAACTAATACTACAGGCTAATAACTAAAACTGCTAGATTTAACTAAATATAATTAAACATACATGAATTAGATACTTATTATATAGGTACGGATTAATAAATTGGCCGGAGAGTTTAAAATAAACGAAAAAAAAAAAACGGTCAATATCGAGACAAACGCATCTAAAATTTTTCTTTTATATATATATATATACGTATAACAGTTTTGGAATCCATGAGCCGTCATTAACCGTAACGTGTGTGTGTCGAAAATTTTCAAAACACGAGGTTTTCTGCCACCGTCGAAGAAACTACCACGTGGTCTCGGGCACGCAACAACGATGTCGAAAAATATCGACACGCGGGAGGAAGATGTATTAAATCGAGAAAATATCGTTTTAAATGAATAAAAATAATTCATTCTCACTTGCTTGCCGCGAAAAAACATTCTCTGGCATTCCGGGACCACGAAAAATTCTTTCTCCACAAGAGTCTTCAGGTCTTTAATTAAAGTCGTCCGGGATACGATTATTGTGACCGCTTGGCCGGTGTCCATCAATTTTACGCGTACGTACATGACTATGTCCGTACGCGTAACACTGTATAAAATTGACTATGAATATTGCGTTTTGAAATTACATGGTGTACCGCAACGAAGAAAAATAATTGTAAATAATGAACGCGGAAACGATGTTAACGAGGTAAGAACCAAGAGAAAACAAAATTGGTTGTCGGATGAGCGCGGTGCGCGCGGACGAAAACGCTCCGGGCGTTCGTCAAAAGTCGGTAACTTGTCGTCGCCGTTCGGCGGAGCGGCGACGATACGGCCCCACCTAATGTTCCATTATTTCGTTTGTTCTTATCGCTCGAATACGATCGGTTTTAGTTAAATTATAATTAGAATTATTTTATTATTTTGTTTTCCAGGAAGTTCCTTCGAAAAATAAAATATTATTAAATTTATTATAACCGAGAGAAGGTATCGGACGAAGTATATGTAAGAAGTATATGTTTAGTCATCTCGGTCGATGGCATGGCAAAATAAAATTTTAAATAATAAAACAACTGAGTAGCCTTTTGACAGCTGGTTATTATTTTGATCGTTTCGGTTAGAATTAATTTTTGAACGGGAATAACAAAATCAGACGTGTGTACAAGGGGGGAAGGTTAGGAGTTCAACCCAGTCCCCCCCCCCGAAATTACATGAAAATTATGATGAAAGTAGTTTTTTAATTGTTTCAAAAGTGATATCTGTCAACAAGGAAGATAAATACAATTTAGGATTTATTTTTATTTTATTACTAGATAGTAGGTATACATTGTTATTATTATCATTTCTAATTTTTTGAAGTTTTCCTGCTTTAAGGAAAATAAATGATACGGCGACATGGTCCACATTAACATCACAATAATATGAATTACGCTGTCGTTTAGACTATGTTCACTAAAAAAATATTAAATGGAAAATTTGGTAATAGATTGACCTAAAAGACTAAAACTGAATGTTATACAATATTGACATTTTATAAAAAATAAATAGTCCTACAATTAAAAGAATTCTTTGTTATAAGACTATGAAAGTGTACGACCTTAACCCTCCTCTAACCCCCGAAATATTTTTTTGTAGACACACCTGAATAAAATTATTACACATGAGAATAATTTTTGAAGTAGATTTATGTTGCTGTTTTACTATAAAATAAAATAATATTCAGTAGCGGATTTAAATAAAAAGGCCCAGTCGGAAAATAAATTGGAAAATTAGGTAGGTATGAGTTGAGTTATTTATAAAACTAAATTTAAAACACATAATATTATTTTAATCTGCATCTGAATTTGATTCAATACAATCGTACGCGTTTTACGTTTTTTAGGTACATAATGGAGTATTACGTTTGATATTAATTATTAAGTAGTGAGTAATTTAAATCAAAAAAGAGCTGATATTGGGGACGAGCGTGGCCACTATTTTGTAGGTAGGTAGTGGGGAAGGTGAAATACACACAATTATTTAGTTTATACCTGTAACCAACGATGTATCATTGGAAATTGTTAATAAAAAACGATTCGGTGCGAATTTCGATTGTACGTGTTTTGAAAGGTTGTAATATTTACGATTTTCGTCAAAATTTGATTTTAAAACAAACAAAAAAGTACTTTCTATATTGCACTCAATTTTATTTGTTGGAACATTCTTTCCCTGTTACCTACTTAACGTGGTTTTCTAAAAACAACTTTTACAGAACTCAGGTTTGAACTTGCGACCCCTGAGATGACATCAGGTACATACCACCATTATACTACGACATTCATACAATAAAATCGACAATATTGAGTTATTGTACATAACACATATAACATCCGTATGATATTAGAACTTTAAAAAGCTATGATTTTAAAACTAAGTTGGTCCGCTCAATTCTGACTCCCTATCATTCTTAAATCAGCAATAGGTATATATATGATTAAAACAAAATAAAATTTAACAATTTGCATGGACCAGTAACTAGATTTGTTTCATATAATATTTTAATCAAACGATTTACGTCAAAATTTGATATTAAAAATTATACATAAATCTCAAATATTTTTTTTTTTGCCACAAAGTACGACATTTAAGGAACCTCAAGTTAAATTTTCATGCATTTCTGTTTAGTCTAACAATTTTATCCATAGATTACCTACCGAATAAAAACTACGTACAAAACTCGCAAAATTAATATATCTATCATTATCTTAAAAATGGATCAAATATTTTTAAAATTTGACCACGTCTATAAAAAGCAAATAGGTTAAAGTTTTGAATATATTAAATTAAATTACATTAAAAAACAAAATTGAAAATAATAAAAGCACTGTTTTCGTAAAATTTCCCGGTATTTTTACGTTTTTTTTTGGTTTTGCTCAATTATTAAAAAAAACTACAAAGATAATTAAAATATGACTTTCTTGTTTACCGACTAGATAAAAAAATTCAACAAAAAAAAATCTCTTGATGTTTTTCTATTAGAAAAATATTTATAGTAGAAAACCTAAGCCGTAAAAGTTAAAATAATGAAATCGTTGTCGTAATTTGAATTATTTCGAACATTTTTAGCTCATACACCGTTACACAACGATACACACTATCCATTTTTTATCGTTTTACGATGTTCGAACGATACGGACAGTTTTTTAAAAACGAATACCAAACCTCAAAATCAACCACACACTATCAACATTATTTTCAACGTATTTGTTGTATTTAATCGCATATTATGGCTCCTGTTTCGTGCACCGTAAATTTAGCTTTGGCAGCTACTGCCGTGGCATTGGTCCTTAAAACTAAAGATAAAAAACAAAAGAGAAAATTGACTAAAGATTGGCTACTGAAAAGATTGCAATATTCACATGTAAATTTATTAAATGATTTTCGGTTCCATTCTGAAGACTGGCACAATTACTTTAGGATGGATAAGAAACCTAATTTGTATTACTTCAGTTATTTACACCTCTAATAGTAAAACAAGATACTTATAACGAAAATCAACCCCTCATGAACGGTTGCAGCGAGTGGCGACATTGCGCTTTTTAGCTACTGGTTTTTATAACTTACAGTTTTAGTTCGAACACCGAAAACGGACACGCACCTTCGGCTTACTTCATTTCGAACACCAAACACGGACAAAAAATCAAACTCCTCAATTTTTATTCCGCTTCCGTATACAGTTACGTAACGTTTTTCATCCGTTTTCTTGCCCACACACTATCGGTGTACGTTGTTTGAACTACACCGTATACCGTACACCGACAAATAAAATCGTAGTGTGTGGCGGCCTTGTGGAAAATATTAAAAGGAATAAAATCTATATTTTGTCATTTTTGGATTGGAGCAATATTTCTGGTAAAAAACACCGTGCAAATTTAATAAAACTATAAAAACAGTTATGTGGCGGCGTGAATTTCAAATATAATAATTAATTAATATAATTTTATTTTAAGTACTTTTTGGTGTTTTATCTTATTATGCATCTCCATAATAAATTCCCTGCGGGCGTCCATGCGTCATTAAAACCAATAAATCCTTCGCTACGTTCTGAATCTAAAAGTATTTTTATAATAATTGTACCTATTGGCTATTTCAGACCATTATTTAAAAGGGAAAAAAGTCACAACTTGTATTTTAACGAAACAAAACATACTTACGAATATAATATCAAAATATTAATAATTTCTATGACAGATTTCGAATTGTTTTATAGAAAATAAATTGACTCATAAATCAGATTCTGAATTAATATTGTCTGCTATGTCGTTTAATGAATACTTCGTCAAGATGATTTTCTGTTAAAGTCGATCTGTGATAATCTTTGATTATTTTTAACGATCTCATATATCTTTCAGTACTAGCACCTATTTATAGATAGAATAAGAAAAATTCTACATAAAAGTAGGTATTGTATTTCTTCCAACGAGCGATTAACAATTGTTTTTTTTAATATTTAGTCAGAGAGGGTTAAATTGGCCTAATCGAGCATATTAGACTTGCTCGACCGTTTAATTTGTAACTGATGATATTGTCCGACAAATAGGAAGTTGAACCCGAACAGTACTATTTTACTGACCAAACTAAATTTCCTCGACCCAGGCCTCTCATTCCCCAACTGGGCTACAATTCGAAAGATACTCCGTAAGTGGCTAACCGACGTTATATTCAAAATCAGCTTTTCACTACCATTCGTAGTTTTAATTTATTTATATATCCTGATAACGATATTTTCCACCAACATAAGTGGCACTTGGTAGAAACATATTTAGGTGCAAACCCATGAAGGGTTTTCCCTCCACACCATCCAATATTGTATTAATATTTTACTGATGCTACTACAAGATTAGTAAAAAATATATCAAATTAAAATTCCATATAATATCGTCATAATCATGAAATCACCAGGAGTCAGGACCAATACAAGTAGGTTTTTGCCTCCTTCGAACATAGCGATTAATCGCTCAAAATTAAACATGTACTATTATATGGGTTTATTCACACACGTAAACGAGATGCGCATTCGAACGCGCCGAAACGCGCATGTTTAATTTTAAACGTTTATTATCTATACCGAATTGAACAATAATTTCCCAGTGTATTTTTAATGCATTTCCGTTTTAGATAAGATACGGGCGATTTGAACGCCGCGTTATATTTTCGTTCATTTATAATTTGTGCCTTCAACCTTGTACAATCTCCGTACAATTATACAATACATTTATATTATAAAGAGGTTTGACACTGAAGAGTTTATTCTCAAAATGTCGAATAAAGAACCATTTTATGGTCTTTTTAAATTAAGAAGATATATCCTATATCGCCATTTCACATTTTAGGTTCCGAGCGTGGTGAGGGAGCATTGGTTTTACTAAGATGTTTATTTCTTTTTTTTTCTTCTAGTCTCTAGACACGTTATTCCTAGTAAAATTGCTCCGATTTTTACGTGTAGCACTTTTTCTGAAAGCTATATTGTCAAGTCGTCTAGATTATAAATTAAAGAGATTATTTTTTGATTTACGACGTCATTTTTTAAAGAAAAGCATTTAAGTGGGAAAAAAACGTAGGAAAACGTATAATTTCACGATTTCATTATTTTATGAAAATACGGACGACATTTTCTACCAGAAAAATGATTTAATCGAAAAATCACAAAACACGTTTTTTGTTGTCCTTTTGATTTCTTTCTCACGGTATCATCGCCAAAACTTTTAAGCCACTTTTGAACTTTTAAAGAGTTTTAATTTTTGGTAGTTTTTTGCTGTAAATTCAGTTATAAATACACGTAGACTTGAAACTTGGTAATAATATTTATTTTTGACTTACCTAGACGTGGTAAAATTTTCCAAAATCATCGAACGACTTTTTTTTTTTTAAATAAACGTTTTGAAATCAAATTTAAACGAAAATAGCAAAAAAAATTATGGCATTTCAAATTGTGTATTACCGAACTTATCGTTGTTTACAGATATAATTGAAATAACCTTATGTATCCTACCTTTCCAAATTCCCACCTACAACAGTGGCTGCACCCATCCTTAGTATCAGCTCTTTTTTTATTTTTATTTTTGTTCATATTCCTCGTGTAGTGCGAACATAACACATGCTTCTATACCGTTAAAGCTTTCTATTTCTGAAAATATTAAACGAAATAACAGTGGATTGCAACGCGAAGTACTGTACATGTGATCATGTACGATGTACAGTAACAAGACTAGTATATCACTAAATATAAAGTATTAGCGTGCTTTTTATCTTTGAGAAACTCGTGTAATCGAAGGACTTTGCGTTTTAAAGCTTGTTTTACACAAAGCGAAGTAATGCCCGCGAACGCGATTTAAAATCCTAGAGGTTTTTAATCGCTAATTTCACATCGGTTTCACACTAGACGATTAATCGCTCGATACGAATGACCTGTGAACATTAATTCCCGACAATTTTCGAATTAAATAATTTAACTTTTATTTTACATTTAGTCGTGTAGACATCCTGGTTGTGTGAAGAGGTCATTTGTAGTCGTTCTGTACATACTTTTACAAAATTAATATTATTCAATCAATGTGGTCATTCAATTTTTTTAAAATGGAAATATTAAACACGTAAATGTAATTTATTATAGCCAAAACAATGTTTGATTTTAGCCGACCGCATTGCACGTTCGCCTAAAATTAAACAAAAGCGATTTCTTGCGATTGTTCGTGAATTGTATCTGGGTGATTATTTTCGTGTGAATATGTTGACTGAAATATAGCAGTTTAATTTGATCGAATATTTGCAGAGATTTTGAATCGCGTTCGTATGAAACAGGCTTAAAATCGCAGCGTTTGAAACACGCAGAGATCTATAGTAAAAAGTCTGTAAATAGATGGAGTTTTAGTTCAAATAAATTTTAGTGTTGATATTTTTTATTTCTGTCAGACCGTTGACGAGTTATCTCCACTTTTAATTTTGAGTTGGAGGAGAGTAGTGATGTAACATTTGTATGGCGGTACTGCGCGCGACGTGTTAATAATGCACCACTACTCTCCTCCAACCTAAACTTAAAAGTGAAATATCTCGTCAACAGCCTAACAGAAATCAAAAATGTCAACACTAAAATTTATTTTAACTAAAACACCATCTATTTTTAGACTTTTTACTATAGATTTCTATTTGAAAATCAAAAGTAAATGGTAAATTTACTCCCGAATAAGGGTGACGAAAAATAACATATATATAAAATTGTAGAGCTTCTAGTTTCTAGTGGCGTAATTTGGTGATGTTTGTGGGGGGGGGGTTAAAATGCTTTACATTTTATTACATTTATTACCCTCCACTACAATAAAAAAAAAAAATTGTATTTATCACAATCACCTTTTTTTTGCAATAAATGTATGTACCTATGCATGTGATAATGCATATAATATTGTTATAGTCTAGTCTTATCAATCTAGACAAAATAATACTTGACCACTAGGTGGTTTATTTTTGTACCACTAGCATAATGTAATACTATATAGGCATATTTGTGCAATACTGTAATAGTGATACTTATGCTGCCCTGCTATTGTAAAAGGCAGTATTTACAAAAATGCAAATGTTGAGAAAATGGGTTTTTCTTATTTTTGAACTTTTTCGCTTGTTAACAATATTATTCAATCATTTTTTGATCATTATTTGTAGTTCTTTAATTCATAAATCGTTCTGGATAATTTTCTTTTTCCTAAAATCAAATATTTATAGTTTATACCTTTTTTTGGCCAGATTAAATATATACTACATTAGTGATAACCACAAATTATTACAACTACAATTAAAAAAGCAGTATCAACTATACACATATATTCTATTATTTTAAAAAAAACATAACAACAAATTATAAACATCATAGTTTGTTTGACTATTTATGTATTTAATAAATAAAAATTACTTTTTAAAAAATTAGGTTCCAATCTTAGGAATTAGTTAATAATTATTGTTAACTATAAAAGAATTTATAATGTTCACATTCAATTATAAACATGTAGATACTGCTTACTGTTGGTTATATTATCTAAGGTTACTAGATACATACACAGTATGTATTCCACTAAATAAATTTACTAACCGTACCAATGAGCAGTAACTACACAACATATTATACTGCCTTTTTTTTATAGAATATATCATTTACTGCTTATTAGTTATTTGTCTAGTATTCAGTGATATTTTGGTAGATATATACTACATATGTAAAGCTCGTTTACAGGGTCTTTTGATGTTTTTCTCCATTTTAACCTAGAAAAATCTATGTAAAATGGCCTAATAAACAATAGGTACATATACTACAATAATCTTACTTATGAGAAATTGTCGGTTACTGTATTTCACTCTGGTAGAGCATAGTTGTATTTATGTATAGCTAGCATAGGGGATTAGGGTTTTTTTGAATTATTTTTATAAAATATAGACTTTATAATATAATAATATTTATAGTTAAATAAGTATATAAATGGAGTTCCCCAGTCTTTAAAAAAAAAAAAAGGTCTTGAGGGGGAATACGACACCCAAATCCCCCCTCCCTCGTAATTACACCACTGCTTGTTTCTTTGATGTTCTAGAAAATAAATTCCGAAAAAAGTTAATACTTTCCAAGATAATAAGTGTACCCACTTAAATGGATCACTCGGTATATATTATGTAGAACTATAATATTATAGAATGATATGAAAATTTAATATAATAATATTTGATGATTTGGGTTTTTATTCCTGTTATATTTTCTGAGTACTCAGTGGTACGACGGCAGTTTCTTATCGCTATTTTCGGGCTTTACGTTTATTATATTGAAACAGTTGACTATATTGTCATCTAATATCATCTTGACTATATTGTTTGGCATTATTGCGACGCGCCAACATTATTCACACAGTTCGTAACCCTTCAACACGGTTTACACGATCAAATATTTCATCGAATTTTTGATATACGTCAAACTTCAAATATTTTAAAAACGCTTCTAAAATATTTGACAGTTTTGTCATTTATTGGATAACTAGATTGATAACAATTTGTTATCAACGTATATCATGATTATGAAATATAATCTACACATTTTATACAAAGGCATTGTCATATTTTGTATTCCAAATGTAATTATTATTTATTAAATTTGATTGTCTATATAAAACTTAAGGCTGCGGCTACATTAGATCTGTTTCCTATCCGATCCGACAATCCGACTAGTCGGAAGAAAAATAAGATCATGTACATTATCGGTAGTAGTTATATTTATCCGACCTGCCCGTTCCCGACGTACCGTCTAGTCTTATACGTCGGAAGAGAAAGGAATCAATTTGATTTTCTTCTTTGGTCTATTATCCAAATATATTTCGTACATTTTTCGGTTTTTTGTATTTGATGAGAAAACTCTTAAGAAAATCAAAAAAGACCTTCTTAAAGTACCTCCCCGCACCGATTTCATTTCAGAAATATTGCTATCATTAAAAGTTGGAACAATATTGCTGATAGAAAAGATGTCTATCGATATATCGAAAGAAAGTATCGATACCGGCGGTAGTGCCATTACTACCGCCGTAATTGAAGCTGTAGTCCCGAGTCTGGCATTCTGCTCACTCTTTTTTTCACTGGGCATTTGAATATTGATTGTATGTCTCTGATTACCATAGAACTTTTGTGATGTACAAGAACTTAAACATGGCTGCTTGAACGAAAAATCTTACGACGGGACCCCCTGACAAATATCATTTGTATAACGGGCAGTACTTCTACTATTATTCTCCACTTAATTTTAAGTAATTTTGGATTCTTTTTATCTGTGCACAACTTTTCTACCAGAAGACTTGCTCTGAGTTTTAAGTACAGCAGCTTTTCCGAAAGGAAACTGGTGTGGGGAGGTACTTTAGAGAGGTCATTTTTCGATTTTCTCAGGAGTTTTCTTATCACATTTGAAAAACCGAAAAAACAGAGGAAAAACAGAAAAAACGTAGGAAAACTGGGAAAATCGGTACAACATTAAACAAATATTGTTAAAGAAAGTATATTAAACCTATTTAATTATTTTACTATAAAATAATATATATTGTTGACAAAGCATCATTATCAACTGAACTCCGCTCAGAATTGTTTTTCGTAAGCAATGATAAACCATTGCTTACAGGTATACATTAAATTATCTATATCAGCGGCTGCACCTATCCTCATTATCCTAGGAAGTCTTTTTTTTTTTTTTTTATTGGCATAATTATTATTTTAAACACGTTAGTCTAAGCCAATACATTTAGTAAATAATTTATCTGATTCCATCTCCTTCGAGGTAACTATTCTCCTTAACACTTAAACATTTTCTTATCAATATTATTATTTAATAAAAAAATTAAAATTCCTGGTCGTCTCAACGTTAGTAATATTAGAAAGTATGCTAACATGACTATACAGGTACTTGCTAAGAACGAGTGCGATAAAAACGTGGATTCTATTATAATTACTAAAAATAATTTCATATGTAATAACTGCTGTTACCTGCCTTAGGACAAGTATATAAAAAAAAAAAAAAACATTAACAAATATTAAATAATATGAAGTGTACATGCACTATATACAGGTAGATCCCTGAAAATAACCCTCGTGGTCGATGTTAAAGAACTAAAATATAGTTAACTTGCAAGTATAGGATTCCCTATTATATAGGTACCTTCAGTGCAGTAGTGTAGTCATAAATATTGTTTTGGGTATACATCTATATTCTGAAATGTATGATACATACAGGAAGGCTTTGCCCCCCCACAGTGCTGTAGGCAAGAATTTGTAAGGAGGGGAATGAAGTGGGATTACAATAGTACTTATATATTAAAGTTAATTTAAAAAATACCACATATATAATAATACATTTATATACTTTCCATGGTGCAAGGGAGGGTTGAACCCCTTACTCTTCTGCGTGTCTATGGCCCTGCCCCCCATATAACAATTAACTTAGATTTATATATTATTATATATTTATCTAAATAAATTTATTTAGATTTGAAAGATCTTTTTTGTTAAATTAAATGTAATAAATTATAAGTGTACCTATACTATAGGTACCTAATTTATTAAATCATATTGATTTTTACTTGTAAAATGTACACATAAATATACTAAGCGTTTTCACATAAATACAATATGTTCATACATATTACTTACGTTCTATGTAGTATTCAATGTTTGTAGTTACTGATGTTAGTTTATGACGTTTGGAAGGTTTTAATATAAAATAATTAGTGTTTGTACTGTGCCACGGCAGATGATTGAGGTCGATGAATGACAACGAACTACGAACACGATAATACAGATAAATCGTAATAAAAACAGAATTCGGTCACAATCCGCTTATGCACGGCAACGTTGTATAATTCGTGTCAAAAAGTGGAGAAAATCTAGTACTGTTGAACAAATTTGTGCCCACCGCCCTATACCCGTATAAATTGACTTTTAGAACCTATCATGACAACATTTTGTCATGGTACCTATATAGTGTGTACGTATTTTAGGTGGCTACAGCCCCATTTGCGCTTTAAAGTAGCCTATTTGTGACTCAGAGTAGCCCATTTGCGCCCCGAGGGATGTGAACAGATGCGTCTGAAATATAAGGTACCTGCCAATATTTAAGTAGCCCCTTATGCACGGATTTCGCCTACAACGTTGCCGCTATTTTTTTACACGTGAAACTTGTGATTAGTAATTTGTGTAATGTTGCACAACGCATTCACCGAGATAACTATAATGAAGTACAAATGAAGTAAAATTAAGATAAAATTGTATAGAATTTACTAATATATCGATAATAATATCGATAACGATGCAGAGTTGGGCACTATCGTCGATACAAGTATCTTAGTCCTTAGATACAATTGTATCATATATCTTGTATCGCGATATAATTATAAGAAGTATCGAGTACCTTGTTTCGCGATACATTTTTGGTCAATGTAATGTGTATTTCATAAAAAAATTGTATCGAAAGATACATTAATGCAACATTTTGAAAAAATATTTACGATATTCTTTTTGTAAGCTCTTTTTTTTTTTACAAATATAAACATATCTAAATTTTAATTTTGATTCACTTAAAATGTTTTCAATTATAAATATGAGAATTGAGCACAAATAACGACGATTATATTATACAAACTACGGATTTATATTATGTACTAAACGGATAATATTTTTCCACATTTTATTTATCTTCAAATAATCAAAAAATATTATTATAAAAAAAAATGGAGATGGGTGTAGCCACTGGTATTGATAGAAAGTTGCAAAGGTAGGCTATAGACGGAAATTTAATGTATATCTGTAAGCAACAATAAACCATTGCTTACGAAAAAACGATTCTGAGCTGAGTTCAGTTGATAGTGAAGCTTTTCAACAGTATACATGTCATTTTGTGACATTCAAACAAATTAAATAGGCTTTATATATTTTCTATATATTTTTGCTTAATGTTGTAGCAATTTTCCCAGTTTTTTTTAAGTTTTTCCCTGTTTTCCCATGTTTTATTTCGGTTTTTCACATTTACTGAGAACTCTTGGGAAAATCAAAAAATGACCTCTTTAAAGTAAAATTAACCTAATGAAATTTTCTTTTAGAAACATTGCTATCTTTACAAGTTGGTGCAAAATTGCTAGTAAAAATGTTGTTTACAGAAAAAATAAACTTTTCTAAAGTACACCGATTTCCTTTCAGAAAAAATGCTACACGTATAAATCCAAGCAATTCTTCTAGTAAAAAATTGCGCACATATACAAAAAAAAAATTTAAAAAAAAACATCTTTGTAAAACCATAAGCTTTTTCGCTCCACTAAGAATCTAAAAGACGTCCTAGGATAATGGCGACGGGTGCAGCTACTGTTATAGGTAATTTAATGTTTACCTGTAAGCAACGATAAACCATTAGTAACGAAAGAACGATTCTGAGCGGATTTCGGTTGATAGTGATGCTTTGTCAAAAATATATGTCATATTATGATAAAATAATTAAATAGGCATTATATATTTTCTTTAATATTTGTTTAATGTACTGGTTTTCCCGTTTTTCCTACGTTTATTCCCGGTTTTCCTGTATTTTCTCCCGATTGTTCACATTTGCTGGAAACATTTCTGGGAAAATTAAAATATGACCTCGTTTTTTCTGAATTCGAAACAACGAGCAAAAAAAAAAGTATTTTCTTAAACCAATTAAATCTCTAAATCTAGAAGTATAGAAGTATATTTCTTGGAAACACATCTATTCGATTGAGGACAATTTGATTCTTTAAGAAAAAATCGTCTTATTCATTAGTTTCACTATTTAGATTACAATAATAAAAAACAAATAAATTCACTACATTTTTACATGTAAAACCGACATCATCACTGATCGAAGTGCATTCTAGCGATTTATGATACTTTTGGACTACATTTGTTCACTGTCGCTTACGTTCGGTGTTTTTTTTTTGAGTTCATGATTATAATATAGTTCAATGGACATGGCTGGGCTGCCTTGATAGAGAGAAGGTGGTCATATGGAGTGATAAAAGATTAGGCCGCTATTAGTTAACTTTTTAGTCGATTTTTTCTCTGTTACCCAAAAGCCAGAGTTCAACATTAATTTCCCCTTGAAAATCAAATCGGTATGAATTTGAGAAATTGTTTGGAGTAAACGGTGTTAAAATTAATGACACCGGTTTAATTTGTCTGCATCATCATATGCATATGGTGCAAACTATTTACATCTTTTTCATCCCCTATTATTTCTCCCTCGAAATAATAAACGAACAGATATATAATAATAATTTAATTGATAACAATTAATACCTATTCAAATTAATTCTCATTAAGTTATTAACAGTAAATGGGAATACGCTAATACACAAATAATTTAAATTGATTAATATTTAATTGATAGTATAATTATTATACACCGAATTCCATTGTCGAATATCTATGCTGTAAAATGTCGGTATCAAGTGGTAGGGAGCCGGTACAAAATGTATCGGTACACTGATTTGTATCAACGATTTTCTAGCAAGTTAGTTATATGTTATATGTTATACGTTCGGTTATATATTAGTTTTTATGGTCAAAGGTAGACAACGACATATATAGATCTATGGATACCGAAATTAACAACATACCTTATACACTGTGTGCTGCGTTTCGATTGTTTGTTTCCTGCTGTCGAGCTTGGATACGTGCGTAGTTTTAAGCAGTAAACGTTATATTTGTATATAAACGCTCTGTATGTCATGACAGGGCTTTTAGCCGGTGGTACCCCGCCGTACCCGATAACGTCGTTCGTGGAAACCGTACGATTCTCAATATTTAATTATTATTGTAACAATTTATTATTTATCGTCTGCCGTTACCGATGGCATTTCTGTATAAAATTCAAACTACCGTAGTTTCAGTTTGGTCGCGGTGCTTTTTTCTAAACGTTTCGAAAATGACCTATCCATGAATCTGCTTTGTCGTTAATACACATATAGTTTATTTGATTTGCCGTTGACCCATCGTTTTACCTACAGCTGCTTACGACGACGGTCTTCCTTATTTTAACCAAGTATACGGTTAGATACCTACCACTTTGGAAACGCCTGAAAGCAAAACAACATCACTCGCTATGGAATTGTTGTAAGTGATTTTGTTTGATTAATGATATTTTAAAGTAAAGACACTAATTTATGATACCGGTATGGTATTTATCACTTTATTATGACGAATACCACTAGAAAGTACCATAGGCATAAATTGGGGATCTTAGAGAGTTTAGCCCCCCAAAAAGTTTGTATAGCCTCCTAAAAATTTTGAAATTTTAATAAACTATAAGGTCTTGTGTTAGTAAAATTACTGTTATCAGTCGGACAGCCGATTTTGTAATGCAATAAAATTAGAATGATTAAGCTAGGTTAGTATTTTATAACGTCAACAACGATAACAGTACACGACGCGCGACGTATGTGTTTTTTCTTCTATTATTATCGCTATTACTATAGAAAAATCACTGTTTTAAATTTATATAAAAACCTAATGTAAATAACAAACTGATTGAGTACTACGGCGGTGAACGGTAAATTGTAAACATCGAATATTGATCAGTTAAGTCAGTTTAGATGTTATGACGAACAGCCAACGACTTATTTTCTTTAACATTTCCAATTAGTTCCTCCACGTGTGAGAGAAGCATCTCAGCTATGTGTCTGATAAAAACATGACTCCGATCGTCTTTAGATTCATTCAGATGTCTATCTTGTATATAGAAAAAAGTGATACCAAAAATATTAATAAAGAGATCATTCTTAAACAATTTGCTGATGAAAATAAGTATATAATGTTAAATTAACATCAAGAAAATGTTATTAATAGTTAAATTAAAATTTGTTTCGTTTGTTTAACAAATAATTTTGAAGTATTTATGTGCATGGTTTACAATAAAATTGATAAATTTATGTGTAGGGGTGCGGAGGGGCGAAACCGCCTGCGAGCTTGTTATATATTTATAATTTCAGCCTTCCCTTTTAACAATCCAAATTTACGCCTATGTATGTAGGTATAAATTACATTAATTAAAATCTTAAATCGTACCTACATTTTAAGTACTATCATGTCTAGACCTACCTAATTATAATTATATAGATTAAACATGGCTGTGAAGATAATCAGTGAAAAAAGTAGGTATCTGGGTAGACATAATATGATAATAATAAAAAAAAAAGTACTTAAATATAATTCACTGTTGCGTTATTTGATAGAAAAGAAAATAACTTTTTAAGTTCGAAGTATGTAAGATGGAAGTTGTATTTTTGAATTTGTATAAATTTTAGAATGTATTACATTGCTTAATGAGATATTCACTAGTTTCATAATGTAGATCTTGGACATTATTAGGAAGATCTACGTATACAATAATTTTTAAATACCCCCATAAAAAGAAATCAAGCGTATATCTTAACAGTCTACAGACAGGTATTTCACAATATCAGAAATTTTATTTCGATATTCTAGTATAAGTTGAACATAGTGAAAATTTTGTTAATTACAGATTATTTGTAAATATTAAATTTCAACATACTTTGGCAATTTTGTAATTAAGAAAAAACTTTTTATACAAAAATTGTTTTAAAAAAAATACTCTCCCCAAATCTGTAGAAAAAAAAATGGTGTTGCCATTTAAAAAAAAGTAAGTAGTATTGTAAATTAATATTGTGTACTCCAGATTCCAGAATATCAAGATTTTCCCAGGGATTACAAAGTTTAACTATAAGTTTTTTTGTAAGATTACCAAAGAGTTCCATGATTACTAAACATTTGTATACTGATTTACCCTCGGTGTAAACCTATGAATAAAAATTCTAGTATCATATTAATGGGACTTTTGGCATTAATGTTTTATGTTTGGGAGTTAAAAAAAAATGTATGCATATAACAGTACTAACAAAACAAAAAAATGTAATGCTAGCAATTGTAGTTGCTATAACAATATAACAAATTCCCTTTGTGAAGATATGTATGCAGGAAACTAAGCAATGATAGTTTCCCTAACAACTTATTATATTGTGTGGTGAAAACTAATAGTGTAATATGTTCTTAAATACACATTCAAACATTTTGATGTCGAACATTTACAAACATCTAATTATATTTCTTAATTCTCGTATCATATACCATTATTTTCAACTACCTGTTGATATAAATAAATAAACCTCAAGATCAGGACATAAGATCAGTAATATGTTTTATGGCTTGCCATAAGACATATTAATAATCTTATGTTTTTGTTTTTAATGCTTAATCCATTGGTATAATCAAAACTTACCTGTTATATTTATTGGTGTGTAAACCACTAGTCAATTTTTTGTACACCAGACTTCCTGTGAAGTATACTTCCATATAATTCCAAGTAAAAACTTCTGTCTGTATACTTATTTGTATTTCTTTTAACTTCTCTATGTTTCTACCTTGGTTCATACATACTTCCATGGACTTTCTTTTTAATTACTTTCCCTGTATTCTCATATATTTTCTAATATTACTTTCTTATACCAACATTTTTGTATATTAATACATATTAAGATTCTATACAAAATATTTAATTGTATTAATGTGGTCTATGGTGTTGGTACTATCATATTTGTTTGAATGACTGATATTGTACATACATCATGATCTCAAAATTAATAAAGTGGATTCTGGGTCATGATCATAGATAATATAATTTTACATATACCTATATTATATTTTTATATTATCTATGGTTACAATAGATTTTTGGGGATAAATATAGGGTATGGTACTAGACAAATTGAAAAAGTGCAGTCTATCTATATGTAGTAGGCACCTATATCATAATATGATTAGTATTATATATAATTTAAAATTAATAAAATTCAGTGAAAATCTAAGAGGTAAAATCAAATAGATATTTATTATGGGATTATTTGTTATTACACATAGGTACAACATGTTCATAAATAACCTAACAAATAGTATATTATCTGATTTGAATTTAAGAAATATAAAATTTTATTTTAAAACTAGGTAGTTTACACATTTATGTATGATTTATGATGTATGTCAAGTATTTAGTTTCACAACAAATTTAAATACTTGACAAAAATTCATAAAAATTCAAAACGTATCATTAATCCCTTTTATATAGGTAGTTTCATTTGATAACAGTCAAATTACAATTTTAACAACAAATAAATATTTCAAATTTTTAACATTACTGAATAAGAAAGCAGAACAATTTAATATGAATGTTATATAAATATGGGTAGAATACTTTAAATAATATTTTAATTGTTTGTACATTTTATTATTATTGAGCTTCTCTAATATTTTTATTTCAAATAGACCCATTGAATGTTAATAAAGTTTAATATAATATATACTTTCTTTATTTTAAAAAGTACTTTGTTTTGATATTTTTTCAGTAGTTAATCCGAGGATAAAATTGTTTGGCCAAACAGAAATGCTTGAAAATTAAACAGGAGGTTCATTATATGCTGTGAATAGTGAAATAAAAGAAAATTAGTGTAATGTAGATATTTATAAGTATTTTATATCAAATTTTCATCGCCGAACATCGTTCAGAATCGTTTTTCATTATCAATGTTTAATCGCTGTATACAGATGTACATTAAATTCTCTGTGATATCCTACCTTACAAACTTTTCACCCATCTACAACAGTGGCCGACCCAATTGGTGCAAAGTTTGTCTGTCTTTGAAACATGAGACGCTGGAATTTGTAGTTTAGTTACCAAGCGATTTTTTTAATAAAACTATGTGAATCAACATTTTAAAAATTATGGTGCAAACGAAAATTGGGGCTGATTATTAATTTTGAAGTTATGGTCATTTGAAATTTGTCGTTTTTTTGGATATTATGTCATAATATATAATGTAAAAACCCAGGTTTTTTTTCGATTAAAACAGTAATAAACTTGTTTGAATAATTTCAAAGTATTTATGGAGTACCAATCAAAATATTGAACAAAAAGTTAAAAAAATAGAAATCGAAATAGTGATTGGTACTGGGGAGTTTTGGAATGGTAACAGGTACGCATATTGAGTATTTAATGTAACCACCCATACTATCCATAAAAACGACAAATTTGTCAAATTACCATATCTTCGAAATTAATGATTCACACTATTTTTTGTTTATGCAATAATTTTTAAAACATTGTTTTAAATAATTTAAAAAAAAAAAAAATATCTAAAAAAATTACTTGGTAGCTAAACTGCAATTACATGTTGGGTACTTATTTATTTGCTTTATATTTTTTGTAAATATTTTTACATAAATAAATAAATGAATATATAGATAAATGTCTACTCGTATTTCCATATACCTCCGAGAACTTTATGCTTCCTTGTCCTTCCTTGTACTTCTATGTAATTCATTACACTTCTAAATATTTTCTTGTATTTTTATGAAGATTGTAAACCAATATTTATTTAGGATTAATCATGGAAAATACAATTTCTGGAATTAATCAACAATGTGTTTGAAACTGTTTGTGTTTTGTTGTTTTGTAATCATTATTAACGAGATTATTAAAAAAGTTACCGGGATATGACTATACAGCCCTCTCTTACAAAGCGGCTGCCACCTTATCTACCTTAGTATTTCCAACCTGATGATGCTGTAAAATGGATATTAACCTAATGTAATCATTATTAACGAGATTATTAAAAAAGTTACTGGGATATGACTATACAGCCCTCTCTTACAAAGCGGCTGCCATCTTATCTACCTTAGTATATCCAACCTGATGATGCTGTAAAATGGATATTGACCTAAAGCTAAATCTTGCTACACTAGGATCTCGGAGACTTGAATAAACTAAAAATAAAACCTGATGCAAAATTACGAAACTTCTATTAAGGCATCAAGGTATCAAGGAAAAAATGTTTTAAAGTTTTTCCCGGTAACTTCCTAATGAAGTCCTAATGAAATGACTTTTTTCCATTTTTACACAAGAAAACACTTTGAAAAAAAAGAAGATAGTATGCTAAACTAGAATTATGTCTCAAAAGTATAAAATTGAAAAAAAAAAAACAAAAAAAACTGCAGAATAATTAAATGTGTATAAAATATAAAATTTATTGAAAAAAGTTGTCATGGATTGTATGTTATCACTAAAGATCAAGTTTCACTACAGTTTATTTTTTCATCACATTTAATTTTTTCTATTACATTATTTTTTCTATTTTTCGTAAAATTAGTTAACACTATTATTTTTTTTTTTTCACTCGTAAGGTCTTATAATACCTACCATACACGCTGTGGTTTACCTGAGAGGTCTACCTGCACAGAGTTTTTTAAATCTGCACTGGCAACCAGCATAAAATCGAAAATCAATTTTTTCTAGTATACTGGAACGTCTCCACACACGCTGGTTGACCTGCACAGCGAACTTGAACAGGTAATTTCTCTGGTAGACTGTAGCATGTGTGGCCTGCAACAAAATTACCGAAATAATTTGTAAATTCACACTGAGTGCTTTCACTAGTTGGTTCTTTCCTTGAATAATTCAAGTCACTACTCTATTAAAAAATAAAATATCATGCATTTTGCTTATTGTACCATTATTTGTAGATTATATAATTTTCTAAATTAAAATTCACTTCTGTTTCTTATAGTTTATATCATAAATTAGTATTCACTTTTGATTTTTAAGTGGAAACCTCCCTCTAATTTTTAAATTCGTATTGAGAAAATTTTCCGGATGATTAGAAAAAAAAAACTTAGCATGATGGGTGGGCTACTGTTGTAGATGAGTAATTGGGAAGATAGGATATAGAGAGAAATTTAATTTATTTTTGTGTGCAATGATAAATCAGTGCCATTGAAAAAAGATTCTGAGAGGAGTTTCAAAATTTTGTATTAAAATTCTTATAAAAAAAAAAGTACGAAATAAAACTCAACCTTTTCTTTTTGACCATTAAGTACAACTTATAATAAATCTATTAAATTTTCAAGCATTTCTGTTCCAAAAATTTTATCCACATAGTACCTACCGAATAAAATTTCTATAAATATCCTAAAAATATCTCAAATGTTTTGAAAATTTCACAGCCTCTAAAAAGGCAAATATAAGTTTTCTATTCAAATCTCAAGTTGCTACGAAGATTTTGAACTGAATTACAACAAAAAAATAAATTGAAAATAATAAAATCATCATTTTCATAAAATTTTGTTTTTCATACCTTTTTTTCGAATTATTTTGAAAACTGTTTAGAAAATAAAAAAATAAATGCCTTTAAAAGTACCACCCTAGGAGAATTTCTTGTCAGAAATTGTGCTACACTTGAAAGTTGGAGTAAGAATTTTTTTCATAGTATAAAAATATAATAATAAAAATACAAAGAAACATTGTAATACCAATACATTCCTCGCTTATAACTTATACTACTTAATAACTCATAAATTTTAAGTCTGCATCACTAGATTTTTTGAGTGTTAAATGATCTTCAAACTTCTAAAAATTAACATTGATTTTAATTTAATATTAGTTACAGATATCAACATTTATAATAAAATGTTTTCTATTTTATATGTATCTTTAAATGTGGGGTTCCAATTAAAAAAAAAGTGTTAAAATAAACCTTACACAATTTAATAGAGATTCACCAAAAAAACTGAATTCACTTACCACTTCCTACTAGGAACAATTGTTTTTATTTATTTATTTATTTTTTAAATTAAAGTTTATTGTTTAATATAGGCATTTAGCTCCAGACACATTTGACTACCATTGTCCTTACAATCCAGCACACACTATGCCACAAAAGACTTTAATCAAGCATTTGATAAGGTGTCCAGATAAACCGCCTAACTTCAGGAATTGTACATACAACATATCACATGTCATGCATGAATCTGAACTAGCAGTAAAATTTTAATTATTATTATTACTATACATCTATTACATAGTAATATTTACTATATACGTAAATACTGAAGTTATTTATAATAGGTTCTAATTGAAATTGTATAATCATGTTATTTTAGGATCATGAAGAAAACTGTCCTAATAGAATATTATTTGATACAATTTTGTACGAATCAGAAGATATGAAGCGTCCAGTGCCTGTTATAGACCACATACCAGCCATGGATTATAGTAAAGAAGAATCCTGGGAAGGTGTAAGTAATTATTTAAAAATAAATAGGATTACAATTTTTATTTTTCAACTATATCTATTGTTCCTTAACCCTAGAGCACATGACTTTTAGAATTTTGTTCATTGTTATTAATATACTGTCTGATAAATGGTGTGTGTGTGTATGTATGTAACATATACTGTAACATTGAAAACTTTTAATTTTATGAAAACTCAATTATTGTTAGTTGCCACTAGTTATATTAGATAAATTTATATGAAAGTTTCATTTGTTTATATTATCAATAAAATTGTTTGACAATTTTTATTCTTTTAAGAGCATTATTTATTTAAAATAATGATTAATAAACATTTATCATTTATCATTTAATGTTTTAATTAATGCGCATGGATTATCCTAAATATTTTTGATGCATGTAATTTATGGTTAAAATAATTTTTGTATGGTAAAATAATTAGAGAACATATTAATTTTTTCTCCATTTGCATATATATAAAGAAGTGTACATTTTATTTTGATGAAGTTTTATGTAGATATTAAATGTGTTTCAATAAAAACAACTTAAATATTTTTAATTTTTAGATGGAACAGTCCTCTGATGTATTAAAGGACATTTCCAAAGCAACAGTTTCAATGAAAGCTATACATGGTTCTACTAGATCTGAGCGTAAAAAATATCGTAATCTTTTACATATTTCACACAATAATACCAATAATGTGAGTATACACTCAAAGACAATTAATATGAAATTAATTAATTTCTCTATTGAAATATGAAGTTATATGAAGGGCTCTGTGCTAAATCAAGACAGAGAATTGGAGGTATAAGATATGAGTGTTAATGGGAAAAAGAATTCTGAATTCATATATGTAATATGTATAATTTGAGGATATGTATGAAAGTTTATATACTAGTGTGAGAAGTTAAGGTAAAATGGTAAATGATGTTTGTTAATGATACAGTGTTGATAGGAGAATATCTAGAAGAAGTTGAAAATAGGCTTGAGAAATGAAGAGTAGCTCGAAGGAAAGAGACATAGGCCAGTTCTTATAATGTCTATTTAGGTTAGGGCTATATCCTACTTTCTCAAATTCTTACTTTTTATAGTCATTTTGTAGTATAATAATTAAATAGGCTAAATATATTTTCTTTATTAATATTTGTTTCATATTGTACCGATTTTCCCAATTTTCCTAGGCTTCTAGTTTTTCCCATGTTTTATCCAGGTTTATCACATTTGCCTGGAAAAATCTTGGGAAAATCAAAAAATGACCTCTTTAATATACATCCCCACATGTTATTCTTTTAGAAAAGGTGCTACACTTAGAAATCTGAGAAATTCTTTTGGTAGAAAATTTGCTCACAAATCATCTTTGTAAAATCATAAGTTTCTTCGCTCCACTCAGAATCTAAAATTCGAAGATTTTGATGTATAAACTTTTTATTTTCATTAATTAATTTTTAATAATTTTTTAAAGTTTAGAGAAAAGAAATGTATAGTCAATCAATCATAATAATAATAATCAATTAGAGAATTGGATTACAACCTACTGCATAATTATAGGTACTTTTCATTTAACTTAAAAAAATTTATTAAAAATCACGAATTTATTGAAAATAATGTTTTATACAAGTTGATACATCAAAATTTTTAGAAAAATAAACTATAAGCCATGTTCTAATTTTTCAAAAATAATAAAATAAAGTTAATTATAAGTTTTTTATCAAAGCATAAAAAATTAATTGCTATTTAATATAAATATTTGTAGGCCTTATCTCTGAGAGTAATATAAAAACAAAACAGAATTTGAGTAACTTTATTAACTTCGGAGATATTATAGTAAATATATCTATGTGGGAAAGCCTCTATTTAATATAACAATTAAAATCAAAAACTGATATTGCTTGGTCCCTGTGCTACTGTTGTAGGGTAGATTGGAATCATCAAGTTAATATTTATATCTGTATGCAGTGATAAATTTGTTAATAATGGTTGATAAATCATTACTAATAAAAAAAAATTCTGAGCGAAATTTAAAATTTGGTTTTAACATGCTTTAAAGTGTTGTAATTTTCATTGTTTCCATCAACATTTAAACATTGCTTATGATTTACTTTTTGGTAATAAGATTGGGTATATAGGTTTTATAACTGTCACTTAAGTGTGATGATTGGTATGAAATGTATCCTAATTTCTAATTATACAATTTTTAAAAGTGCTCGATAAATTCTGGCAATTTCAAAAAAATTGATTTAGGTTTTAAATTTTAAAACTAATAAACTATAAATCATTATTCAAATAATTTGTAAATAATTCTAATTTGTACATAAAGATTAAAAAAATATAGTGTATAGTCAATGTTGAGGAAATTACTTTATTTGGTAATTAAATTAGTAACTAATTTTCGAAATTATGACTTATTTTGCAGTTACTTTTATTTGTTCAAGTAACATTACTTTTAAGTTAAAAAGTAATTTCATTACTATATAATAGTTACTTTCTTTTTTCTTTCAAAAATATCTCTGCAATAATAACTTAATAATAATAACTTGAATAAGTCATGGGACAATACATCAATGAAGCAATGATAATAAACAATATGTGATTTTTTATAATAAAATCAAAGATTTGAATCATAGTAAATATTAAGTATTTAAAGACCAAAGAAGACAATAATAGTTTAACAGATACTTATTTTTTAAATAAAAATTTATTTTTAGAACTACAGTCACTAGCTATTAAATAAATATTACAATAAGAGAATTTTTTTTTTATGATATATTTACATTATATTATAAATATATTTTAAAAATGTATAAAACAAAAAAAAAGACCAAATAATTTAGTAATTATACTACAAAGAAGTAACTTAGGAAACATATAAATTACTTACAATAAAATTACCATCAAATTACTTACTAAGTAATTTTGTTACTGTAACTTTTAACTGTTTATAATAATTAAAATTAAGTTTATAATAATTAGCTTAATGAACTCCCCATAAAAATGTTTAAACATGTGTGCAAAATTATCATAAATAGAGTAGAATAAATGTTTTGTTGGTAAATAGTGCCAATTTTTAGATAAACATACATTTTTTCTTATTATACATAATACATATCATCCTATGCCCATATTTTCATTAGAGTAAAAATTATATTTATTTGAATTAATTAGTGCCTAGTTTTCACTATTTTTATTTTTATTATACAAATTATTTTAATTTTAATATTAATATTATATGTTATTTTATAATTTACCCATACTGAATACATTACTTAAAACTATATAGTAATCAGGCTACTAATAAAATCTACAACAGTACATTTTTATTACATGATAATCATTTTTTATTGTTTTTAGTTTTGTCTTTAATATTTAGTATAATATTCTGTGATATAGTAAATAAGCTAATAAGATTTATTACCTCAAAACTAAATATTTGATATGCTCTGATGGCAAATACTAAGTATGTCATCCTCTTAATATAGTTCAATTTGTATTAAATCTACTGAAAGAAAAAGAAACATTATTCATATTCAAAAAATATATTAAATACATATATTTTTTTAAATAAAAATTCTTTAACTTTCTTAAGGTTTCTTTAACTCTTTTATGATACTATTTTAGATGATATCTTTTCATCAAAATTTGACATAATACAGTTACATCTAATAATATTTAAGGCTTGGCTTTATTTTAAATGGCATAGATAATATTAATGTTTATTTTTGTATACAAAATATTAAAAAATATAATTTTTTTATTTTTAGTTTTATTAGTTTAAAAAATGATATATTAAATTTTTCATTTAGAAAAGTGGTGCTGACAACAGTATTACTGGTAACAATAGGGCTGGAAACAGTGGCACCAGTGACACAAATGTATGTACTTTTTTTATTTAAATTTAAAATTATAAATAATATGTTTATTTTATTATATTTAGTTAATTAATTAAAAAAGAAGGCTATAATAAACTATACATATCTGTGTTATGGTGTTTGTCAGAAAAGTAGTTTGTGCGAATAATAGTGAAATAATAAAAATAGTGAAATTAATTTTGTAAATTAGTCTTATGATGTTTTATAAGTACAGTAAATTTACCCAATCCTAAATTTTTTAAAAAAATGTATAGATATATGTATGATTTATATATGAACACAGCATAATATAAACTAATGTACTCTACATCAAAAGTCCCTAACAGAAAATGGTACAACCCATTTTTAAAATTTAAATTTTGGCCACCCACAATAATATCAATGGCCTTTTTTTTTGATGTTTTGTAAATGAGTTGCAAGTACATTTTAAAGAGCAGTACATTTTAATAAGAAATATTTATAGTTATTTATTTAGTTATTAAAAAAAGTATATATATATATATATATATATATTAGTAAGTATATAATTTTAATGTAAAGGATGTAATTGTTTCCTATTTCTGCATTGATAGCCTCTTCAACATTTGTTAGCTTGAGGTGCAGTGAGTTTGACGCTATCAATTTGCTCTCTAAATTGGTTTTGATAGTATCCATTACCAAAAATCCAACTTTACAATTATATAATGAAATGATTAGGAGTAGCGAAACTGTCATCATTTGTATCTCAAATAATCGATTCATAGCACAAAAAATTCTCGGGAGATTCATCCAGCTGAGATAAGCCTTGAATATCTGTGAACTCGTTTTATTGTAATAAGAACTATTTACTCAAATTAACTTTTTCAGTTTATCTTCTACTGATTGAAAATTTTTTCAAATCTATATAACACTATGTTATTTGAAAGCAATAACTTTGTAACTAATTTTAAATGTTTTTCATCAAACACGACCTAAGTTTAGACCTACAGTTAGAAGGTCACATAGGTACTTAAATAATTCACTATCTTTTCAATAACTTAATTTGATTGCATCTATTGATATGGTTTGTGTTAATTCATCGGAACACTCACAGATAATGATTTATGATAGAACTGAATTTAAACATCGCCGAAAAGTAATAGAAATATAGAATTATAGTATTATAGTAACACATGTCTAAAAAATTGTATTATTTAAAAATATAACGTGACCCATAAAAAGTATGGTTACAACCCACAGTTTGAGAACTTGCTTTATATATTTTCCAATCATCCCAAACTTTTAACAACGGTGGCTTATTATTATTTTTTTACTGTATTTTAATTTGCATGATATTTATAGTTTACTTATAGTCATAGGGTGGGTATTATTATATTGATAAACATCTGATTAAAACCTAAAATTTCTTATTTTTTTAATGTAATATTTATAATATTTTAATTTGTTTAACATAGATAGTAATTACATACAAATATACATAATATATGTTATAAATGTAATTGTTAATTTATTTTTCTTTTTTTAGTCTGTGTATACTGAAAATAAAGATCAGAACCTGCAGCAAAGGAACAAACCAAAAGAATTGTTTATCGGAAAGAGACCAACTGTCGCCAGACATATAAATACTACTAATAATCATAATTAGTTTCATCAAGTTTTAAGCTTGATTAATTAATTTATAATTTATTTAAATTCATCCATCCAATAACAATGATATTTTCAAACATCTGGTAATATGTTAACATATAATATTGACTTAAATATTGCTTATTCATTATTTTTTTTAATAACGCAATAAAAATAAATATTTTCTGAAATTAAAATTGTATTGAATCAATTTTATTTTAAAATTATACTCCATAACATTATTTTGTTACATTAATTAATTAACAATAATCCATTACATAATTTGGTAATGGAAGGGAAGAATGTGAAATATTTTTACTTTTATCTATTACTCCAAAAAAAAAAAAATTGTATTTATCACAATCACCTTTTTTTTGCAATAAATGTATGTACCTATGCATGTGATAATGCATATAATATTGTTATAGTCTAGTCTTATCAATCTAGACAAAATAATACTTGACCACTAGGTGGTTTATTTTTGTACCACTAGCATAATGTAATACTATATAGGCATATTTGTGCAATACTGTAATAGTGATACTTATGCTGCCCTGCTATTGTAAAAGGCAGTATTTACAAAAATGCAAATGTTGAGAAAATGGGTTTTTCTTATTTTTGAACTTTTTCGCTTGTTAACAATATTATTCAATCATTTTTTGATCATTATTTGTAGTTCTTTAATTCATAAATCGTTCTGGATAATTTTCTTTTTCCTAAAATCAAATATTTATAGTTTATACCTTTTTTTGGCCAGATTANTATTTATGTATTTAATAAATAAAAATTACTTTTTAAAAAATTAGGTTCCAATCTTAGGAATTAGTTAATAATTATTGTTAACTATAAAAGAATTTATAATGTTCACATTCAATTATAAACATGTAGATACTGCTTACTGTTGGTTATATTATCTAAGGTTACTAGATACATACACAGTATGTATTCCACTAAATAAATTTACTAACCGTACCAATGAGCAGTAACTACACAACATATTATACTGCCTTTTTTTTATAGAATATATCATTTACTGCTTATTAGTTATTTGTCTAGTATTCAGTGATATTTTGGTAGATATATACTACATATGTAAAGCTCGTTTACAGGGTCTTTTGATGTTTTTCTCCATTTTAACCTAGAAAAATCTATGTAAAATGGCCTAATAAACAAATAGGTATTTATTTTATAATAATTTCATTTATGAAAAATTGTTGGTTACTGCCTTTCACTTTGGCAGGGCAGTTTATTACAACCTGTATTATTATTATAGTTCATTATAACCTGTTTATTACAAATTATTCAAGTATAGGTGATTGGGGTGAAGGGGTATTATTTCTATAAAATTTAGACTTTAAAATATAATAATATTTATAGTTAAATAAATACATAATGTAGTTCCTATTTTTTTAAAAAAAAAATTCTTGGGAGCTGATAGGACACCCAAATCCCCCACCTGTTATTACCTAACTGACAATAATTGACCAAACAAGCAAATGTTTGTATTATGTGTGTGCTAGATTCATAGAGGTCTATACCAAACTATGATTATTGTAATAATAATATAATATAATACTATACAATGTATGATCTCCATAAACAGACTAGTGGTTTTTCATATTATTACTAAAACTTCACATTTAATTTAATTAAAATAATTAGATACTAGATAGCAACACCAATTGATGAAAAATCACAAAACAATCTTTATTCAGATAAAAATTGTATTCACTTATTTTATTAAAAATCTGTGTTTTTGATTATATAAATTAAAAATGTTACACAATTTACTAAAAATATTTAAAGATCAGCGCTATTATAATTTTATTAAAATAGTAGTGTTCCACTTTTCTCTCTACTTAAACTTAAAGTTAAATATTTAAATGTTTAACATCAAAATGTATTTAAATTTTAAACTAATATTTTTTCTATACACAGAACTTTTAATATAGATTACCATTTGTAAATCAAAAGTTGGTAGTCTCTTTACCTCCAAAATAAGAGTGACAAAAATAATGGTGATGTATTATTTTAGATTGCTCGGTTTTAAATTTTCAAAACATTTTTCTTTTTTGTCTATAAAAGTGTATACTTAGTGAAATAATAAGTGTTCAATTATAAAGCATCATGTACTTCCATTAACTGTCTCAGTTTAACCAATTGAATTCAGAATTTAAACATAAATACAACATTTGAGAGAAAATTTTCTAGAATTGTATGTTTTTTTTTCCAAAATATTGTAATGCTCTCAAAAATATTCTCCTTTGTAAATTAAATTTTTTAATTTAAAACCTAATTTAACCCCTAATTGAAAATTGAAATTATTTATTTCCTATATGTTATATTATTAATTATATTTTACATATATGTGTAATGAACTTGGTTAGGTCTTGTGATGTGTCAGTGATTGAGTAAATGATAAAATATTCAACCTTTAAATTTGATTTAGTTACCCCATACTCAGAACTTTTAATTTTACTAGTTAAATATTGGATAAATAACCTAAAATCAGTATTCTAGAGTAATGTAGTATATGTAGTGATACTGTATAGTATATAAGTCACAAATCTTTTACAGTTACAAAAATAATAAGTGTAATATACAGAATAGATGTATTACATTTTTTAAATGTAATATAAGTACAAATTCACCAATAAAACCAAAATTGAATTTAAATTTATTTTCCTACTTAATAAATGCAATCATATTCACATTCATCAAAATTTGGTTAATGCATTTAAAACATTATTAAAAATTGGTATCTATTACAATTGATTACAAAGTTTACTGAGAGAGTAGTGATAGGTTAAACATTATAAATTTAGATTTTACTTTGACAAAACACTGATACCAAAGTGACACTCAAATTTTTGTTTCAAACCATAAGGACTTTTCATTATTCTATCATTTAAATGTTATACACATTTTGTTTTTCAAACTATAATATTTGTATTGTTCAATAATATATAGTTAATATAATAATATATAGTTTACACCGGTGGTTTTCAAACTGGGCAATGTGGATTCACTAAATGTGCTGCTAAACATTTTTTTTCATAAATGACTAATTGTTTTAAATTGTGATATGCGAGTTAATATTATGCATCTATTATATTTATATATTAATAAATCAACAATTTGTAGCTAGAAAAAGATTAAGATAAGTTATCTTAAATAAATTGAGAATAAAATATATAGATAATATTATTAGTCCCCAGTCATTATATTTGCGACTTGTATATAATTACAGGCCCTACACTATTTGTAGTGTTATTTGTCATGTAGTTCTAAATTTATTGATTCTTTTTTACAGCATAGGGTATTTTTTTTAAATATACTTGTGATATTCATTTATTTATAATAATTATTAGTATGGATAAATGTGTACTTCAGTAAGTTAATAAGATATTTGTAACGCCCATCAAGTACACATTTTTAATTAATAAATTATCTAATTATAATTAAAAACAAATTTGTTCATCTAATTTGGTGCAATAAAAAGATCACAGTGTGCTGTAAAATGTTTTTGAAAGCACAGTGTGCAGTGTTTAATAAAAGTTTGAAAACCACTGGTCCACACACACAATATTATGGTTATTATTGACTTTTCTGTTGTTCCTCAGGTAACAATGATTTTGCAAAGTGTTCATAATCCTCTAAACTATACTGTGAAAGAGAACAATTAAATTCCTTCATAAATTCTTTCATAATTTTCACTGTATCTTCTGTACTATAATGCTGTTGTACATGTTTAATGATAATTTCTTCTAGTTTACCAGTATTAGTCATCCGTTGTTGTTTTGGAACCAAGTTCAATTTGGTCCCATCTTTTATTTGTGGGTAATCTGCTATGGTTTTTACATCTAGAAATAATTTAAAAAAAAAAAAAATTTAAGGTTATATTTTCCTTCCTAAGTATAAAAGAAGTAATTTACTGTTTAAAGGAAGTCCAGTTATCAATAGTCTTTGATCTTCAAGAGGAACACTAAATACTTGAAATACATGATTTTTTAGCTCTGTTACAGTCATCTCATTATGAACCTAAAAATTAATTTAATTAAAAAAAAAACAAAACTACAAAATAGTTGGGTTTCTCCAAAATCAAACTTAAAATACTATAATGTAAAAAAAAATAATCATTTTTATTTATACAAATTTTAACTATAGGGTAAATGAAATTAATGGGGTACATTAATATTATAGCAAATAAATATTATTATTTTGTAGTCGCATAAAAATTTGTTTTGATCTGAACATAATCACAAATGGTGTCAATAGTTGTTGGTTAGAAAAATAAAATATCAGTGAAAAAGTTATCAGTATTGATAGTGACAGTATCTATTAATATACCGACAATAACATAAGTGTACAATCTAATAAGTATAGCTACAAAGTGGACAACTGTTGTATTCCAGTATCTATATACTTTGCTCACCAGAACGCTGTAGAATATGAATTTATTCAATGTTTAATGCCCTTAGACTGTTGATCTTTGACCTGTGTCCTAATAAATCCATTGTATTGTTTATAATGTTGGACCTTTGGAAATTAAATATGGAATAACTAAAATAGATATGGCAAACAATAACATACAATTAATGGTCCAATTGGGCATTTATTTTATGAAAATAGGTGCTACAAGTGTAGAAGTGAAAATTAGATAATTTTGCTGGAGTATAATTGGATCTTTCTAATGTATGCACACTAAGCCTAGAATGTCAATGTCCAATATTAACAGGGGGAATATAATCCATAGGAATGTTGAATGTGTGTATAATAGGTTGAATGTAATACCACACAGGAATAGGAGTTAACATCTTTATGATGTGCAATCAATTAAATGTATGCCATTGATTTATGTATAATGTAATCAAATAACTAGACACTACAATAATCAATGAATTAATAATGGCATTTTATTATTTGGTTTACATTTTGAGACTTTTCCCCATGAAACAGTATGTACACTGGGTATATACCCAGGACAGTTTGCAAATTTGGGAACTGAAATAGGAGAGGAAAATTAAATAAAAAATATCTATAGTTCTTATGTATTAAAAACACAGGAAATCATATTTAAATCCATCTTATGGTTGTGCATTCCTCAGTTTAAGAAGAAAAAAAAACTATGTTACTCATGTTTTTTTTTTTTTTTTTTTAAAACCTTGGGGGAACAACCAGACATGTCCATTTATTGGACTAAATCACTTTTTCTCCTAATAGATTGGTACAATAATCAGATATGTCTGACCATTATATTATATGGAATTATAATACAAATGGACATGCCTTGTTGTTTTTTTGATGCAACAAGATAGACCCAGACAGTCTTTCACCACCTTCATATAAAATGTATAGTGAGCTTTTAGGATTTAAACAAGCCAAATTAAACGATATAAGGGAATTAAGTTCCAAGTATGTGCCTCTTCAACATTTGTGGTTCTACATGGAACTTACATCCATTATTATTAACAATGACATAAGTTTTGAAGAAGATTAGTAAGTTGTACCTAGTTAAAAATGTTTTAATGTTGGCTGGAAAATTCATATTTTTAAATAAAAATAAATTTTAAGTTGCTTCTTTAACTTAGTACTGAAAGTTAAGCATTATATATAAGTTCATATGTTATACTTATACTAAAACTAAAATTTACTATTCATCAAAAAAAGAAAAGTGGTCCACAGCACAAAAAAATAAACAATAAACATCATTGTAAAACCAATACATCCCTTGAGAATCTAAACAGATTGCAGTAGAAATGAGGAATGAGAACGAATTCCTTTTTAAAAGGAAATTTTGAAATACTGTTTAATTTAAGTTTCTTGTACTCACAATTCAGAGAAAACTTAGCTTTTTAAATAAAAATAATAATTTATAAATACAGTGAAATCTGTACTTAATGGATAGTTTCGGGACCATAAAAATGTCCGTTACATACAGGTGTCCATAATAGATAGTTACGGGAGATGATATTGCAAACAGAAATTTAAAATGAATGGAGAAAAATGTAAAACACTATAATAGCGAAGTGATATGGAATAAAAATTGAACAGTCTATACGTTTTGTACGTGTTTTTGTTTATTTTCGTCCAAGCAATTAACTTTATTCTTAATATCAAATACGAAATCTATCGTAATTGGTATTCGAAATAGACCAGCGATGTTATTGCGTGATAAGTGTATACAATTTTGGAATAAGATATTTATCCGTCTAGGTATTGGTTAAAAAAATATTACTGCCCGTACCCTTAATAGAAAGAGTCCGTTATAGACAGGTCGAAATACATTAGGATATCTTTTTGCAGGGACCTTATTATTTTGTCCGTCAAGAGAGGTGTCCATTCAGAAAGGTTTCACTGTATTTGTATTACTTAAGTCCTAAAATAATTAATTTAAAGAAAACCAGAAAAAAATACATGTAATTTGTTAGTATTTTTGTTTTTCCTATTCTAATCATTATTCCGAATATAACGTTCAATACATTATTTAGAAATAAAGAATAATAGTTCGTCGTTTTTAAATGACTAATATTTCAAAAAATGAATTCAAAAAAGAAACGAATCGTGTTCCCTTCGGAGTAACGTTTTATTTTAATTTGACCATAGGTGCTTTACTTTAAAATTAAATTAAGTGAGTTTTACGTAATCTGCGTAAGTTAGATTTTATTATATTGCCCGATAGTTTAACTGAGACAGCACATACAGGTTAAACATTAACATTTGGACAAACTATAAAACACCAATATACGACCAGAAGACAAATCAATTGTATTTCTTTCCCTCCCCATTTTTTATCATCTAAATTCTAAAATTTTTCAATGTATTACGACTAGTGATGCCATATAAATCAGGATTATTTGAAAATCCAGATTATGGATTTCGGACCTCAAATTCCGAAAACTAATATTTAAATTATTGATTTTTTTTTTTTAAATCTATTATATATATTTTTGTATAGAACCCCCGCTACGCTCATAATCTAAAATGTGTACTAAACTATTACCTAAATGATTTTATGAAAGAAAACCAAAAAAACAGTTATATTTACCAGCCACCTTCTAACCAGTATTATATCTTTATTTGATAATTTTACTTAGTGTGATTATAATATATTTTTATCAGATAATTTATATCATATTAAATACAAATTGTATACTAAATTAATTTATAATTGTGATTAGTTTTTCAATTGAATAAAAAATGACAAATTTTGGATTCCGAAAATCTGGACTTTATAACCTTTAGCAAATCCGTATTTTTTACACCAATAATTACGACTTAAAAAATTTAATTTTTATGCTCCACCCTTATACACATGATTATGAATACGATTTTGATGAAAAGCTATAAGCCATTGCTTAAAGAAGTCTTCCATTCCTTATCAGTTTATTTTATCTTATTTTTTTAACGATAACTATATGAAAAGTACATTATACGATGAAATGATATGTACGAGTCATCATTATAAGATAATGCTCGTTGCTACTATTGATAGTAGGAACTGATTCTGTATGAATTGTTAGCCGTTCTCATCGTAAAAATAGGTAAATACATAAACAAAAAGCAAACAGTTAAATTAATTCTTAAAATCTAAGAACATTTTTAAATAAGTAGGTACTTCTTCTAATATGTTACAAAATAAGTACTGTACCATTAAAAAGCACCTATACTCACATCGAATGAATGTTCCGGTCCGTTAAGTAACTTAATTTTAATTTTCATTGTTTCTGGAAACGTATACAATTATTCGTATGTTTCCAAATTAAATTTTGATGACACCGACGTAGTTTTCATAAATAAAACAATTTTGCAGTCACACAGGTCACTAAATGGACATTTAATGGACAATGATCTCTTATCACGTGTTTAGGAATCTGTTAACGAATCACTGTTCCCAATCTCAAGTGACCAGGTAACCTTTACCTAGATAATTGTTATCACTTGTTGACAGTTATTTACATGGCCTTACGGTTGTATTTATGGCCGTGGTTATTAAAATTGTATCTGTGATACCCATAAATAATCAAAAATGGATAAACTATTCTTATAGACCTCATAGGCGTTATCAGGATTTTTTATTGGGGGAGGGGGAAATATGAAAATGTATTAAAAAATGAGCCGTGAGAGTTACACCCACACCTTATACAAAAACTACATATATTAAATTATAATATATTATATTTTTGATTAAAATATTGAATTTACAAAATGATATCAATTTTTCTTGATTTTTGAGTCAGCACATCAAGAACTTTTTCGGGATAAATTGGGACTTCTCTACCAACAACTACAACAATTTTCATCAGACAGGCAATTTACTTTTGTCTACATCATCTACACCATCAACTTTTATAATAACTATATCAGTAGATACTTGTTGGAGGCACACATTTTTTCTTTGAAGTAAAATGTAAGATACTTGAATTTGTTGAATTATTTTGTTTAATTTTGATCAAATATACGTTTTCAATATACTGTAGTTCAGGGGCTGTTTAACAGGGGGGGGGAGTCTCCATTACTCGCCATTAAGTTATTTTTCTTAAATATGTATATCATTATACAAAGTGATTTGTTAAGCATGCTCAGTACTCACCCCGTTTTTGTGGTTAAATTATGCATAAATTCTAATTTTAATATTTGGAATTTTTAACGTAGTGAAAGACGTTATTTGTATATATAACACTTAAGGAGTATCCTGTGACAATACTAAGTTTGGTTTTTCCAATGAGAACCTACATGTTTTAATACAAATTGTCAATCAGATAATTTATCTGTTAATGTTGACATATTTTAATCGAAATTTCAACGATAATATCCGAGTTGTTTAATGTTAAATATTAAAAAACTGCATGATTCAAAACAATAAATTATCTATATATTCTTAGTATTTAAACCAGAATAACTCAGAAAAATTTCGTTTGTATGTCAAAATTTAGAAAAAAAAATATCATTAATTTGCATAATTTGCATCAAATTATATAGGTTTTCATTTGAAAAACCAATGTTGTTATCACCACAGTATACTCCTTAAAATAACTCCA